GCTTATGTAGTTATTAAATATTCCCTATCATTTCGCAAGCTACTCGCGGTGCAAGTTTAGATTAGTCAGCATTATTGTATATTTGAAATATAATCCACCTTGCATATCTGACTTAACTTGGCTCTTTTAGCCATTTCTGCCTGACAACACTGACAGAAAACTCCCAGGCCAGACAGAGACACAGACACCCGAGTTCGAGTGACTTGCAGGGGGAAACAACTTCAGCACGTGCTGTCGGCAAACGAGAACCTGATGGAGGAGAAGGAGGAGGAGCAGGAGGTGGAGGAGCAGGTGGAGGAGGAGGAGAATGGGTCTGGCCGAGAAGAGGGGACCCAGTCTCCCTCTTTCTCCCGGTGCCCCCATTCCGATTCCGATTCCACTCCCCATCCTGGCCACCTTCACCTTGGCTGCAATTAATTCCGGTAACATAATCTTCACTTACAACTTTATATGACACTAAATCAGTGCAAAGTGGGAGCTGAAATTGGGGAAGGGGGCAGTATATTAGAGCCAAGTTGAATCGAGTTGAGTTGGCCAGGCGGGCAGGCGGGGATGTGTGCGTTGTGGTGGGCGTTTTCCAGCGGCTTTGCAAGCCCCAATTATGGGCTCACACATGAAATTCAACGCTTTCGGAGACCGAATTTAATTAGTTCCATTTAAAGCGCAAGAGATGCGAAAACACCGACCCAACCGACCAGCAAAACAAAATGCGAGTGCCCAGCGAGCGTTCTTTCCGCATATTTGCACGCCAGCCGATAATTATCGCTGGAAATTCGGTCAGAGGTTGACCCACCCTCTCTGCGGAATCTCCGCCAGTTCATCTGCATGTGGGACCCTCGAATCCACCTGATATATATACTCGTATGCACTATGCTACGAATATGCACTTGCAGATGGAAGAGGAGGGCGTGATCTGCCGCACGCACGGTGCCCATTTCATTTTCACTTCGCCCAGCGGGGGAGCAGCCAACAACAACAAAGACAACAGACAACAGATTGTGCCCCAGATGGCGGAGTCGGATAATGGGGAGGGGAGGCAGGGGGAGGGGGATGGGGCTCCATGTGACTGCCAGACAATTACGTGATCTCTCGAATGCCCATACATGCCACTCTTTGCGGCCCACAATGAATGTTTATAAGCTTCACTTTTGTCGTTGAACAGAGGAGAGAAAAGCGCTTATTATGCACTTGCAGCCGAAAAGTCATATCGTAAAGTATGAAAAAATTATGAAGTGGTCGCATGAGCACGAGAAAGACACTATCCGAAGCATCAACGTTATCTGAAGATCTTGTACGGATTATTTTTTAGCTCGTAGATATATCAACTTAAATGGGAGACAAGCACGCTTTAAAATAAGAAGATCTGCTATTACTTGTAGGAATTGGAATCAAAACATAGGATTGCTATCTCACTTTCAAAAGCTCGCATCTTGTTGTTACTTTCCCATTTTAAACTATCATATAGCCTAGAAACCCCGCCAGCAAGCGTGAAATTTGGGATGAGTTCGCTGAATAAATTCCTCAAAATAGTGATTTCCAGTTCTGGCGATTTCCTGAAGCCATTAGCAATTGGAAATGGCCGTGGAAGACCCACCCGAGACGAGTGCAAGTGAAGCCGGGATGAGATGCATCCCGACAATGGACTGTGAGCCGAGGAGTGGAGGCAACGCCTCATGCTGAGCTCTTAACTTTTCGACATGTTTCACATGTGATGAAGATTAAGTAGAAAATAATTACAAGCTGTTCCTCAAGCGCAGCCAAAGCTGTGTGTGCGATCGCGATCATATCGGAGCGGATCGGATCGGTTCGGATCGGATTGGATCGGGACAACTCTGCGATCGGATCTCGGCTGGCGGTAATTGCTTAAACGGCGATGTCAGTGCGGTGACAGGACGGCGTCATCGGAGTTTAGGAATCCGAAATCTGGAACTGGAGCTCGGCAACCCAGAGAGCCTGGCATCCCAGAGTCAGAGCCAGTCGTCCAGTCGATCATCAATCGTGCGAACTTTCCAGGGGCCCGCCCCCTCGGAACGCGGATATCATTGCATTGCAGTCGACCACGAAGCATACCTGTTCCCAGATCCCCAGATTCCCAGAGCCAGACGCGATTGCAGTGGAGAGAAACCACCGGCCGGCCAGCCGAAAATAAAAGGGCCAAATCAGCGTGTAAGACCTCTTCTTCTGCGGCCATAAATTTTAAAGTAATTTTCTCTTAGCCTCGAATAATTTATGGGAAAATATTAAGCTGCCCCAGATATCCAAAAGCCCGGAGATTCCTAGCTAGTAAACTACTACTACTACCAACTACTTTGCCGCGAAAACTAACCCAAATAGAGTAATTAAATGAGAGCCACGCTTGTCTGTTATCTGCCAGCAGTTGAACTGCGATTATGAAATCCTGGCCCAGGAACCCAGGAACCCAGTCGGCAGTGATCCGCGGTAATTTCGCTTTTGGTGCTCCGAACTGGTGAATTATGGCCAGGCCGTCCTTAAGGTTCGGGTCACGATTATCTGCATACGCAGCCGGCAATAATAATCTCAAAATTGGCGCACTTAAGCCAGGATCCCTCGGCAGGCGTAATTTGAAAGTTATTTCGTTGCCGTTGCTGCGGCGGTGAAATTATTGAGCAATATGCTGATCTGTAAAATCATAAATAAAAATATTTGTACTTGACCGCAGAGCCAGACAAGGATTTTGGATTGGGAATGGGGATTGGGAAGGGGGATCCACCTTCGTCTGCACTCGCTCCATCTTCATCTTCATCGCATCTCCTCCCTCTGACAACTTTTATGTTATTAGGTGAGAGAGTCGCTTTCGGGGCCCAAATCGGAGCTCCGCCAATGCGGAGGATCCCGATGGGTAATCTCGATCCCGCTGTCCGGGATCAGCGGCTCCGGAGCGAGGGACCCCGCCCGCGGCCCAACGATTGATAAAGTCTTTTTATTTACAAGCTGATAATGATGGTGTAGGTGCAGCTTTTGGCATTGCGACGGTTTTTCATGTAATTTATGAGCAATTTGCAGACGATTTTCGAGGTCCCAGCGTCGCGACTCACGGAATTTGCGGGGAGAATGGAAACCCAGACGAATATCTGGGGTAAAAGAAATTCTGGGGAGAGTTACGCGAAAGATCTACCAATGAAATAATGGGAACTAAGCCGCTTATAAAATGTAGTGTCATAAAAAATAAATGAGATGGGAAGACTGGTTAAATAAAATAACCAATTTATTGACTTTATGAAATGTACATATGTTGCTTGTAAAATTTAAGCTCAAGAAAGCAACACATTTAGGAAACAAAAACAAAACAAACAATAAAACTATGTAACTGATGTTACGAAAACCATAAAGCACATGGTATGGTAAGTAATTTAAATTATTCCACCTTGCCCGTGGTCTTGGGTTTCAGAACCTCCGGCCTGTTTACCATTCCAATCCCATCCAGCACGCTTTGGCCGCGCTGACCGAAAACTATTTTGTAATATTGATAACCATCTCGATGGGGAAAGGGCAATGGGGCCCGGACAGGCCATTAAAGTGTCACAACAAAACGCTGAACTCATTTTTTGATACGGCACTGGGCCACAAGAAGCCATAAAACAAGCAACTTGATGGCGAGTTTATAAGGAAGGGCCAGAAAAACAGAAGACCCCGGGCACGAACTAATAACACGAATGCCTAAATGGACGAAATAGCCACGAGTGTCAACTGCGAAAGGGGAACAGAACTTATAGGTAAGCGGATTAGGGGCCACGACTTTCGGGAACGGAACGCCATAAAAAATGTCACTGGCGGAGATCTCCCGGAATCGTGTTAACCATGCTCCGAGATTCTGGTACTACTACCTTTATATAGCGATGGTGGTGTGGATGTCACCTCCAGCTCTTCTCCTCTGTTGTTATTGTTTGTGTCGCTGCTGATGATTGTCATTAACATCAAATTACCACAAGTCAAAGTCATGTTCGCCGGAATAAAACCCCAGAACGAAGAGTGCGGACTCAGACAGATAGTCGGCACTTAGGTGGAAAGTTATGGAGCAGAGGAGAAATGGGAGAACCACAAGAAGAGAAGCGCCTGCGCAACCACAAGAATGTGCGGGGAAAAGGGTTAAGAATTCCGTGGATGCTGGCTCTCTGTTACAGCTTGTTGGCCATCGAGACAAATCTGTTATGACACCTGACTTGGGGTTTAATCTGAAGAAGATAAGGCAAACAACCAGCAATACATGACAAACGGTTAAACGTAAACAAATAAAGTTTAAAAGTGATATTATAACGTGATAGAGTTCATTAAATCAATGGGAAGTTCATTTATCATTTAATATCTGCCAAAATATGCTCGTAAATTTCTAGGGAATTGGAATTATCATAACAAACTAAAACCTTCCATTGAAGCCCTTCGAAGTTCTCCAAACTTGATCCATCCAACTTATGAATCTCTAAAATCTTCGCAGCTCTTCTTTCCGCCAGATCAACTGTTTATTCTTTAAGCTGGATTCCCCACCCCAGTGAGATATTATCTTCGCTACGGTGATCTGCATAATTATGCTAAACACATTAAATTCATTCATAAATCTTTTTGGCAAGCATCATTCACAAAGCGAACACCTCGGTGAGAATTTCGATAGTGAGCCACGGGCTATTATTCATGTCCCGCGGGGCACTCGCTCTCATTTGTATTTGTCCAGGTCTTTTGTGGGTGATAAAGCCCAGATGGGGTTATTTACGATCCGGGGACACTCGCGATCTCGGGCAAGGGAGTCACCGAAATAAAATCAATAAACCAGTCGGTGGCCACAACAACACCGAATCCGAAACCGAAACCGAATTAGAAACAAATATTTTAGAGATGCAAATTATGCAGATGAGAGACGAAACTTAGTGTGGGGCCAGGCAAAATATTCGAGTTTAGTTTGAAATCGAAATTCACCTGCCCGGCGAAATCATATTTTATTATTGCCCAACCGGGGGCGTGGCTTATAGTTGGATAGTTGGACTTACTGCCTGATGAGCTGCTCGATCGCCGAAGACGTTTCCAAAACAACATTTCGGCTGATAAGATCTGTCTGCTGATTGCTGATTGGTTTCGTTATGTGAACACGTTTTGGGCTATGCGGGTGTCTGGTCTATTGCGAAACGCTGTTAACGTTTGACACCCAAGGCATTAGTTATTCGCGCCACCGATTAGCATAAACTTCGAATCACTCACTGGGCAGCTGGACAACTGAGGCTCCCCGGAATTTAGCACACGCGCCACAGAACACAGAACTTTGGGCGATGGTGAAGGCAACGCGGCCGAAAGGCAACTGCAGTTGGCCAACTCAAACGACAAATTGAGACATTAACGCACGGCTTCTGAAGAAAGTTATGCTTTCGTTGCAGTGAGTACACCAATTGGGCCGATTCCGATTTGTTTTTACCACCAAGTAAGTGTCAGGTGTCAGGTGTCGCCGGTGAGGTGTGCTCAATTAGCTACCCGTTTTCTGCACTTCCGTTAAGCGCTTTCCTCGAACGCTCGACCGCTCGAGTGCTCGAACTTCTGCTCGGACTTCTGGCCCGCTCGACGGGTAATTAACGAATAAAAAGCCGCTCTGCTGTTACGAAAAAATCTCCGAGCTCGGCTTAAGCGCTGCCGCCGCTTCTTCCACGCTCCGTGCCACAATAAAAACGAAAAAGAAAATATGTTACACCAAAACGCAGCGCGTCTCAGTCGGCGGCTCAGTCGAAGTCGAAGTTAAAGTCGGCGTTTGCCCATCGCACATTGGGGCCAGTGGGGACATAAAACAGGTGTAAAAACCGATCCGAACGACATACGAGTGTGGATGATAAAGCGCAGGCCAGATCGAGATAACCAAATGGACGGAGACGTGGGTTTTATGGGTTTCCAGGGTGTGGACACAATTAGATGTTCGTAAAAAACTGGCGCTTTATTTCCTCGGTTTTGGAATGGGTGTAAACCTGTCATATAGTGCCAAGAATTATGCGGCGACAAAATATTAATTATTTCACAAACGCTTTGTAAGCATTAATAAAAACTGGCTGAATTAAAAGCCTTACTTGTTTGCAAGGTGACAAGTCAATTAAATGGCTGTTACAACATGAGGCTTACAACATTTGTATTTGTATCTACAGCTCCAAAGAGATTTCTGTATCTTTAGCTCTTAATTGGTTGCTATTAATGAACTGTGTAAGGCCATTTGACTACTGACTTCTGTTAACACAGATAATTAAAATAAATATTAATATTAATACTTGACATACTAAATCGTTTTATTAAACATAAACTATCTCTGTGATATTATTTATTATTTATTCTAACTTTAAGCTGTGAAAAATTTTAATTAGCCAATGCATTTCATATTTATTGCCTAATTTGTGGAAATTTTTTGGGCTGTCATCGAATCCATATTATAAATATTTTTATATTTTAAAAAGCGCACTTAAATCTATTCAAAAAAAAAATTGATTGGCTGAAACTGGCAGTTGATTGGTAAATTGTTTTTAGTTTTTGTTTTTTGGCACCTGGAAGACGGACAGGTTAATTCAGTGTTCGACTGCGCAGTCGCAGCTGACGTCGACTGCGCAGTTGGCTTTGCGTTGGTGGCGGTTCAGTGAATTTCGCTGACTGTAGTGGTTGTTGTTGTTGGTGTTGCTGCTCCAAAATGTGTAACAGCAACTACAACAAGAGCCACATTAACCAACAGCAGCAACAACACCGGCCAGCAATCGTTGGCTCGTGCAGAGTTCATAATGCACGCAACCTGCAAGACAGCCTGCTATTGTTTTTAGCCTTACCTGAATAATTTCGTTAAGTTTTAACTCTTTTTTGCTGCCTGCACATTTATTGCTTAACGCTTTGATGCGTTGACGGTTCCTGCTTTGGCCCAAACTACTTCGGCTTGTTCTTCTTGGCCATCATTTGCCCAGTTGCCTTTCCGTTTGACATATTGCACTTGGCTATCTCCTCCCGTTGGCCCCCTTTTCCCGCTTTTCCCGCTTGTCCTCCTTCTTTAGCCGGCTGTTCATTAAGCGAATCAGCGTAGCGAAGCATAAAGCCAAATTAACATAAACAACTTCTTTTCGACTTCGTCTATATCTACACAGACAATAAGTATTAGATATTATTTAGTTTAGCAAAAGTATTAAAGGTTATAAAGAATTAAAAATATGACTTTCTGTTAATGCTCGCTTTATTATTACCAATTTATCTCCACAAAAGTTTACTTAGCAATCTAAGCTACACCCGTATTATGCATGTTCCTCCTAAGATATAATTTTCTTTCTGTGTACTGCATGGCTAACCGCACACAATCGTACATATGGCCAAGTGCTTCCTCCTCTTTCGGCCATGTCAGGCTTTGTGGCGGAATTAAAGACCCTTTAGTCTCCTATTCTTCTATTGCCGCCATCGCACCGGCAAATTGCTTTTGGTACGCGTCTAATTGGAATACGAATTTCATTTGTACCTAGTTTGTAGATTATACTTGGTAGTTGCTTGTTATTGTGGCCGCTTATTTTTCTCTTCTCCGGTTCGGGGGTTTTTCTTATGACAGGTCATAGTACCAACGGTGATTTGTTTTCTTTCTTCAAATGCTTTTCATGTAAAGTTGTCGATTCACAAAGAAATGGAGCAGCAGGTGTAAAAAATGCTCTATAAAAATACTTTAAAATCGAATTATGGTCTATCTTTAAAGTATAGCGTTAGCTTTTTTTATGGGGAAAAAATTTAAATCCTTTTTAATTGAAAGCACATATATATTGTGTGAATACCCAGCACAATTATTCCGACTTTGCATCCTCATCATCATTTTATGCATTTTCGTTGCGTGATTCAAAGTATTATATGTGTTATAAATATTTATGGATGCATATTATGGATGCTAATGGAACTCCATGCGGTAACTTGGCTCGTGGTAGTTATAGCACCCATATATTGTTGTGTTGCCATGTCTGCACCCGCATTAAACAAGTTGAGGAAACACCGGCACGCGCTGTTCGCAATTATTTTTTATTATTGGGGAAAATGTCTCGACCTTTGAGGAAGGATTACCGCACGGCGGACTTCGAGCAGCTCAGCAAGATGATCAAGGATCATCCGCTGATGAAGACGCCTCAAGTGGAGCAGCAGCAAATGCAAAAGTTGCGAACGCCCGAGTATCGAACAAAGTGTGTGATGAGGGCTTCTCTGGATGACATTGCTTTGGGGGTAAGTCCTTAAAATGTTAACCTTGATATAACATTATCCGTTTAATATATTGCTGCACCAGATCAATCTCTACAAGCTCCAGCTGGACAAGCCCATGTCGCCCACTTTGGAGGAACCGGATTACTTGAAGGAGCCGGCTGCTTCCGCCCGCTCCGCCCCCTCGGCCCGAGCTCCTGCCACGCCCTTCATCAAGGTGCTTCTGCGCAAGACGCCCATTGTGGTGCTCTTCGAGCGACGCAGCATGACCGCCTTGGCGGACACGGAGGAGGGTCGTCAGGTGATGGAGGACAACCGGAAGTACGAGGAGCTCCTTTCGGGAACGGACAAAACGCGGAGGAGCGTGGACGCCGACACCCAAACCATGACGGCCCTGATGAAGTCCAGGCTGGTTAACACCGAGAGGCTGACCACCGCCCAGATGGGCTCCTATGTGTCCAACTTCGAGATGTACGACACCTACACGGACCTGGAGAAGTCCACCACGAGTGTGGAGGTGCAGGGTGAGAAGAAGATGGAGATAACCACCTACCACGTGGGCGGAGTGGATCAGTTCGTGGGGATTAACAGGCTGCCCGGCTTTCGGCTGGCTCTCATGCTGACCATGCGCATCCTGGCCAGCAACGTGTTCGAGCCGCAGCAGCGCCGCTACAGGAACATGGCACCACCCGATCCTCTGGCCGAGGATGTGAAGTTCAAGTACCGACTGGGATTGCTTTGGCGGCTGAGTCCTCCGTCGCCGAATCCCAAGGTCCACCAGGCAGTGAGCGATGTGAGCTTCTGTCCCAGCAACGGGGACATCATGGCGGTGGCCTACGGGGTCTATAGCCACGGCAAGGTGGGCAGGCTGCCTCGATCCGGATGGGTTTATGTGTGGAACATAAAGAACCCGGTGAACCCGGAGAGGCGCTACAACTACCAAGTGCCGGTGGTCACCGTGGAGTTCTCACCCACCCAACCCCAACTCTTGGCCATTGGTCTGCACAATGGGGGTGTTGAGGTCAGGGACATTTCTGGCCAGGATCTGCCACCATTAGCTATATCTCAGCGTTCAACTTCGCCGCACTTCGAGCCAGTCACAGCCATCAAATGGATCTATTTCGAGGGGGATGTGGGTTCGAGGAACCCGCATATTACACCCTTTTTGGCCACCTCGCAGGCGGGAGCAGTGACCAAGTACCGGCTGATCAACAGCCCCAATTTGCTGGGATTCGAGCAACAGCGCTTGCAACGAGCTGAGGGCGAACTAGAGGGCATTCCCATCGAGCGATCGCCTCCTGCAGCCTCGCTTTTGGCCAACAGAAATCCACAATGCTTGGAGATAGTGCTCGATCCCGTGCAGGGGGATGTATACTACGTTCTGACCGACGAGGGAACCCTGTACAAGTGTTCCACGAACTACCCACTGCAGCACTTGGAACTGAGACAGGTGCACGACGGACCAGCCGCCTGCATGGAGTTCTCTCCTTGGTCGCCGAGGCTGTACCTCACCTGCGGAAGTGATTGGTAGGGATTGCTCTGCTAACTACTCAACGGATTATAATATATTTTATTCACATTTCCCCATCAGGTGCATTCGCATTTGGCTGTCGGGAATCCTGGTGCCCATAGTCACCCTCCAGCACCACCTTTCCCCGGTTCACTGTGCCCGCTGGAGTCGCACGCACTCCACTATCCTGGTTTCCCTGAGCCGCAGCACCGTGGACATCTGGGATCTGCGCAACAGCACCATGAAGCCGGTGTCCTCCACCGTAATCGATGCGGATATCTTCTACACCACATTTAAGTAACTCACATTTGAGCATTAGATGTTATTAGATTTTTATTTTTGATTTGATTTTCAGGTTCACCCACTGCGGTCGCTCGCTGGCTGTGGGAAACGAGGCTGGCAACCTGTTGATGTTGTCCTTCGAGGATATGCCCTTTCCCCCGCACTTTCAGTACAAGCAGCTGAAAAGAGCCATCTTCAAAGCCTTGTCAATGCAACCGGAACTTCGCAAACAGGTGAAGAGCGTCGGACACTTTGGCTATCCGGGAGGCAAGAAACAAACGAGGGCCTAGACATTCTAAATAATTGCAGCAATATACAAAAATATACTTCTGATAGCTGTTAACAACTAAGTGTTCAATTAATAGTCTTTCCTACCCTGAATTTTCCATTGGCAACCCGCAAAGCCACCATAACATTAAAGCTCAAATTGGCTGACACCTTGAGGCCTTCTTCCTATCGGAACTTGCTCAAGCCGAGCAGGTCTTATCAATCACCTGCATTTACAATGCAAAACACTGCGCGGTAAGGTGGCACCAGCACCTTGAGCATGTGATAGCCACCAAGTTCAAGCCGACTGGGTTTTTGTGGTTTGCGGCACAGGCGATTTCGATGACGGCGACGACCGACGTGGCTGACTCTTCCAGTTTGAACAGCTCATTTAGTTGATACTTAGACGTTCGCCATGCCTCATCTTGTGCGGCAGAACCTGCTGTTGCCCAACCCGCCCACGGTGGTCATGCACGATCCGCGGACCCACTTGAAGCACCTGCCACAAGCCTACAGTCCCGCCCAAACCCCACTGAGTCGGGAACGGGACTTTGCCCCGCAGGTGCGCTATCACCTGGAGTCGCCACGAAAGCCCAAGTTTCGACCCTGCAAGGTCATCTTTGTGGGCGACTGCTCGGTGGGCAAGACGGCCATCGTCAATCGGTGAGTAAGCCGAAAGCTTTAACTAAATTATTTGAAATAATTATTGAAACCTGAGCATTCATTGCAGTTTTTCCTACGACAAATTCCAGTCGAACTACAAAGCCACCATTGGCGTAGACTTTGAACTGGAAAACTTTAGTATTCTGGGTCACAACTATAGTCTAGAAATGTGAGTTTTCTTTTCCTATATAGTATTATAAACTTTAGATATATGGTTTCTTTTAGGTGGGATACTGCTGGTCAGGAGCGCTTCAAATGCATAGCTGGGGCTTATTATCGCAACGCAAGTGGTGAGTACAAGAACTTCTATTTAATGTTTTACAAATTTGTATTTAAACCAACCCATTTTTAATAATAAACAGTGATAGTTGTGACCTTTGACATGTCCAAGCGAGATACCCTGGAATCGGCTAAAAAATGGCTTAACAGCGCACTCAACTACAATACCAGCCAAAAACCCTTGGTCTTTTTGGTGGGCACAAAAGCAGATCTCTTGGTAAATTGATTTCTTTAAGAAAGTTTAAATATTGGAGATATTTTGTTAACAGACAAAAGAGGAGTTTGTACGGATAGAGCGATTGGCCGGAGTTACAGCTGCCGAGCTTCAGGCAGAATATTGGTCCGTCTCAGCGAGATCTGGTTTTAAAATTACGGAGCTTTTTCAAAGGATTGCTGGCCTAGCTTTTGAAGAAGCTGTAAAGCAGCTAATGAAGTCGGTGAAAATCAAACCTCAAGATCAGGCCACTCAGGCACCAGTTAAATCGCAAACATTTGGTATGACTTTGTCTATTGTAACATTTACACCTTTTTACTTTGAACCATTTGCTGCAGATTTACGAAGCTTTTTTGGTAATCGCTCTACACCTCAAAGAAGCGGATGTGCTTGCTAGCCTTTATATTTTATTGGCACATATTTTAAGTTAGACTAAGACTTTAAATAAAAAATTATACAACTACTTTAAAAAACTCTAAAATAATGGCTTTAAGTTAATCCTTTATGTATTAAGACAAAGATCGAAAAAATCATAACCTAAATCGCGGTCCCAAAAATATATTAAAAAAAAAAACCAAATGAATTGCGTTTTAACATTTTAAATTAAAATTAAATTAAGTAACGTCTGCTTATAACAAACTAAAAGAGCTGCCATATGTTTGAGCAGCTGTGTTGCTTGCACACAATGTTAAGATAACAGACAATGTTAAGATAACATACCACTCTGTACTGTTAAACGCTCCGAAACCGTGCTGTTAAGCGCGAAATTCTAACGATCTGGCCATTTAGCTGTCAAATCAGGCTTCCGCTTTTTGACAACTGCCCCTCAGTTTTCCTTTTCATTTCTTTTTCTCGTAGAAATGCCACCCAAAAAGCCAACCGAGAAATCCGGTAAGGGTTTTTCATATAAAAATAAGCGAAAATGTGTGAATCGATGAGCAAAAGCAAGGCAAAACCAGAGGCTAACAATGGGATAACAAAAAAGTGCAGAAAATCACGGTTTTAAGGCAGAAATGTGTTCAAACAGATGACCCGTAGTTTCGGCCACGTGCAGTGTCTGCGTGGGAACGCTTGAGTGTGTGTTCATGACCACAAAATAAACTTAAAAAGTGCTAAAGTTTCAGCGGATGTGATTTTATAGAAGAAACAATAAATAAAAAGGCGTCCCATTGCCCCGCTGATCGATTCGGGCCTAACCTAACTTTGTGCGTGGAACATGTTTACTAATCCGGATTCCGTGCTCTTCTGTTTACAGCCAAGCCTGGCGACAAGAAGCCAGAGCAGAAGAAGACTGCTGCGGCTCCCGCTGCCGGCAAGAAGGAGGCTGCTCCGGCTGCCGCCAAGCCAGCGGCCGCTGCCCCCAAGAAGGCTGCTGCCCCGGCTGCCAAGAAGCCTGCTGCTGCCGCCAAGAAGCCCACGGCTACTGGTGCTGCTGTCAAGAAGCCCACAGCCGTGAAGAAGACGGTGGCCACCAAGGCCAAGGGCAAGGATGCCAAGAAGAAGATCCTCGCCGGCAAGAAGCCCCAGTCCGTGCTGGCCAAGCTCTCCGCTAAGGCCCGTGCGGCCGCCAAGGCCAAGAAGTCGGTGAAGCCCGGCACCAAGCCCGCCAAGGGAACCGCCAAGGCCAAGGCTGTGGCTCTGCTGAACGCCAAGAAGGTCCAGAAGAAGGTATACTATTTGCACGCCTAAGATGACCAAAGTTTAACCCCTCGCACTCTTTCCGCAACAGATCATCAAGGGCGCTTTCGGCACCCGTGCCCGCAAGGTGCGCACCAATGTGCACTTCCGCAGGCCCACCACCCTGAAGCTGCCTAGGAACCCCAAGTACCCCAGGAAATCGGTGCCCACCAGGAACCGCATGGATGCCTACAATATCATCAAGTACCCGCTGACCACTGAGGCGGCCATGAAGAAGATTGAGGACAACAACACCCTGGTCTTCCTCACACACCTGCGCGCCAACAAGAACCACGTGCGTGCCGCAGTGCGCAAGCTCTACGACATCAAGGTGGCCAAGGTGAACGTGCTCATCCGCCCCGATGGCCAGAAGAAGGCCTATGTGCGCCTGGCGCGCGACTACGATGCCCTGGACATTGCCAACAAGATCGGCATCATATAAACGGTGCAATCTGCGGTAAAACGTGGAATGGGCATCGCGTTCTACATTTTATATGTAGAGTCTTTTCTATAAACAAAATATTGCTAAGCTGACACGGTAGAGCGAGGATGAACGTTTCAAAGTTGTCTGGGTATAATAAAACCACTCAAAAACTTAGTGCGGGTTTTGCATTTGGGTGGGTCTAACATTTCTTTCAGTTGTTCTCTTTCAGCCTTCTAAATAGAGACTATACAACGCTACAAGGTAAGTTTGTGGTTATTAATAATTATCTTCCATATGGTTAACATTGTTTTTCTTTATTGCAGACTATAAATATAAGTGGCTACCCTAAGAACGAGAAGTCAATCTTACAGATATAAAAGGTGATTATTATTTTAGTTTGTGAAAAACAAGATTTAAAAAAAAAACGAACTGATGATATATTGAGTAGGAATCTCATTGAGCTTCAGTCATTCGTTGCTTTGAAATCAATTTTAATCTCCCACTGATTATAACCTTGAAAAAAAAAAACAATCAATTTTCCAATCTTGAACTAATTTGGTAATTTTTGTTTTTTTAGATCTTTCAAAGTAACTACCTGGAACTTAGTTAACTACTTGCAAGGTATGTACACTCTTTATATTTATTCAATCATAGCTTGGTCTGATGATATTTTGAGTAGGAATCTCATTGAGCTTCAGTCATTCGTTGCTTTGAAATCAATTTTAATCTCCCACTGACAAAATACTTTCAAGCAAGGATGCAGTTATTAAAACTCGAAACTAATCTGGATCTTAATTCATTTCAGCTTTTTCAAGAAGAAGAACGGCCTGGTTAACTGTTTTCAAAGGTATGTATTGGTTTTAATAACTCGTTTTTAAATTTTCTTTGTTTTGATGATATTTTGAGTAGGAATCTCATTGAGCTTCAGTCATGCGTTGCTTTGAAATTAATTTTGTCTCTTACTGACCCTCCACCAACAACTAATTATATAGTTTACCACTTTTGAACATAACTAATTGTCTATTACTTTTTCATTTACAGATTTGGCCCGCGATATGGATATTATTTTAAATTATGTTCCAATTATTTTAAAAATAAAACGACTATATAAAAAACATTAAGTTTTTTATTGCTAGTATTTTAATATCTGCGAAATTGCTTTCTAAACTTGTCATAATGGTAGTCATCTGTAGCCCGTTTGACTCCATTGGGATTTGTTTGATGTTGGGCGGACTTGTTGCCCTCCCTCTCCTCCCGCTTGCGTCTTCTTTGTTCGCTATTATCCTCAATGTTGACTAAAATTAATAAATGGTTTTTAATTGAAAACTTCATACACGGTTCCACAAACTCACATCGATTGTGCTGCATGAAGTTCACCGCCATATTAGTGGGCACAAACTGCGAGGGTCCGTCCTTCTTGTTTTTGGCATCTTGCAAGAGTTTCTGCTTGGCATCCTCGGTGGCCTCTATGTTGCGAATCTTAGCAACTATGCCCAGATCAACCTCGGGAATACCATTTAACATCTGGTTAGACAACATCTCTTCGGATCTGTGCGAGGATGATTGCCTCAGATGGTCAGGCAAGGCGTATAAGGCGGCATCTTCGGGAGTAAGGTATTTGTTGACATCCCCATCGTCCTCAGCCAGGGCTTCAGTTCCACCTCCCTTGCGCTTCTGCAGCTCCTGCTCGATGTACTTCATCATTTCCTCGTCCTCATCACGCTTGTTTGTTTCCGCCGAGAATTGTGTGCCAATACCCACGTCGTAGGCGTCGTCTACCTCCTTTATCTTTCCAGATTTTAACTGCTGCATATTGACCAGACCTCCAGTTTTCACATTGAAAGGATCCTTGATGGCCAGCTCTTCCTCAGGGGCAATCTTCTTGCCAAGTGCTAAACCTACTAAACTGACACCATTGGGTCGTTGTCTTAGGCGCTGGCGCTCCTTTATCTCATCTAGGGTAAGTCTATAAAGGAAAATCGATAATGGTATTTAATCTTTAAATATTTTAATCCACTCACTGTTCTTCTTTTTCCTCGTCATCAGAAATCTTCCTTTGTCGTAGGTTTTTACGTCCGGCTTTTTTAAATAAAACCTTGGCGGATGCCTCAAGTTTGGTTTCTTCTGCATTACTCATGTTTGTAGCTTTATTTAAACTTTAAATTTGACGAATTTATTTTAATAAATAAACTTGTTTACGTTTGCTTAGCAGTGGGACCGTGTCTTTATTCTTAAGTTTATAGCATCAGCTGTGTTATAGGTTCCGCCAAAAAAAAAGTTATCGGAATTAACATCGATAAGTCGCTAACGCCGCTGCACTATAGTCAACCATCACTAACAGCGGCGGCATTCTTTTGCAGGAATTTCGCATATTTTGCAATAAAAAGTGGCCAATCCTAATAAAAGCCACTAAATTATTCCCCAGCATTAGTTTCGTAGCGCTGCAGGATCGAAAACGCAGGTAGATAAAGCCCCCATGGCATGTAAATGAACTTTTGCACAAACTGCAACTTAAATCGATTTTCCCTGTGCAAATTGCAGCGTTGTTGGAGCTGCCAGTGGCCTCCAGGAGAACTTAACGGTTTTGGGGCAGCAGCAGGAAATAAATCACCATGTACAACGGCATTGGACTGACCACGCCCCGTGGCTCTGGCACAAACGGACACGTGCAGCGGAACTGGGCATGTGTGCGGCCGGGAAAGAAGGACAAGGACTATCGTGCCGAGGACGATACTAAGAAGCTGGACGCCCAGTTGAACAGGCCGCCAAACAAGGAGATCCTGGACCACGACCGCAAGCGAAAGATCGAAGTCAAGTGCCTGGAGTTCGAGGAGATTCTTGAGAATCAGGGGTAAGCTAGCAAGTATTTGCATTACATGGCGAGTTAAATGACAATCCCCTATTACATAATGCCGGTTTGGGTCTGTTGCTTCCTACTCTGTTTTTGTTTACTTTGGCGCCTGGTAGCTGCTGCTGACTGCCAACAGCTCTTTCCTGCCAGAGAGCGGACGCACACGCGCCGAAATAAACGAGGAACAACCCCCTAATGAGACAACCCTAAGCGGGCTGGGAGACCTCAGACCTCCACCCCCTCTGTGCGTCATATGTGAGCACTCTTCCGGTGGCCCAGACTTGGTTGGTGGTGAAAAAAGTGCATTTCAGTTGTAGAGATTATTTGAGTAGAAGACATCCGCATGTCCGGGCAGGCGGACAAAAGTCCAATCACATCCTAACCAAGTTACCGTCTAAATAGTTTCAATCCACCCATTTAAGCCTTTTTAATATTAATTAAGCTAGTCTTAAAGGTATAACTAAGAGTTAAAAACCATTTAAATCTCGAAAACTATATAATCAATTTGATGTTCCTCCCCAACAGACGTACACCGGAGGAAATCAAGACGCAAGTGGACTCTTTCCGCCAGAAGTTGATGGGACAAGGCAAAACAGATCTGGCCAAGGATGAATTCGGACGTATAGCGTAAGTAGAATTCTTTCAAAGGCTTATGTAATTTAAAAAAAAAAGAAAACGTGCGCCTAGTGGACAAATCAATAAACGGTTAAACAAAACGTCGGCCTCGGCGAAATCTCGGCCAGCCCACGACAACTGTAAACCACATACGAAAGGCGACACATGCGCCGCCGCAGCGCCCAGTTTGCCATCCCCTTTAATCCGGGGGCCAATCAAAATCGACGAGTGGTAGAGAAAATGCTGCTGCAAAGATTTTTCGAGATGCGCTCGGTTTTCAGTCACTTCAAGTCTTCCAAAGCCACAGCAAGTTGGCCAAAAAGCTCAGGAATCGCCACATAAAAAATTAATGTATAGAACCGCTTATAAGAAGCATTAAAAGCCTGTTAAAACTACCGCCTAAGTGTCCTTTCCAAGGACAGCGAAAGGCAGGCGATGGACTTGGCGCAAAGGAGTCGCCGCAGAGGACCCGGAAAAAGTACCCGATAAGCTCTGAAAAATCTGTGGAAAAATCAATAATCGCCTCTGCAGGAGCCGGGCAGCAAATGCAGCCGGAAGCCTACAAAAAAGGGAAAACAAAAATTAAACGCGTGTTCCCAATGCACGGGAGGGAGTGCTCGGCAACCAGGCAGCCCTTCAAGTGTGCCAATGGAGGAGTGGAAATACAAATGCACCCGCTGAAGGGAAATCCAGTGGCGGTGGCGGTGGTGGTGGCGTTGACAAACAGCCCACCCCTAATTTCGGATTGTAACCCGCTGCCGTGCCGTGGATTAAACGCTCATGTCGTCGTCGTATAGTCTACTATTCTAGTGGTTGTTGCAAATGCTTAGAGTGAAGCGCCATCGAAATGGTATCAGGGCCGGCCGAGGCTACACTTGATACCCAAGCCAAACGAATGCAACAAATCACTAAATAAGTCTTCCAAAACTAGTCAGTAATTAATTAGTCTAAGTCGCGAAGTTGAGAAGGCAAGTGCGCGAATTGTCGGCAAGAGGAGTAAATCAAATTAAAAAACCCAATTTTAATTCAAAGTCTTCTCTTAATTATCCAACGTCTTCCAGAAGGATAAGAGTAATAAAAAAAATTGGTAATGTAGCCCAAAGTGAAACAATATAAATGCTAATCCATCGTCTTCCAATCCTAATCGATGAAATTATAGCAAAGGATATTTAAACTAAAATAACTATTTTTATACTTAAAGAAATATAAATATTATTGAAATCCACTGTCTTCCAATTACATGGATTTATAAATTTATTTACACTAAAAAAAAAATTAAAAACATGACGAAAAAGTAAAATATAAAGCATAACTCTTATTTAAATCCAATGTCTTCCTTATACATGGATCTATAAAATAAAATAAAGAAAACAAAATAATAAAAATTAAATGCCTAAATATCACAAAAAGACAACTCTTCAAAATCAACTCTCGTTCGCGTATTTATAAAAAAAAAATATTATTTTTTGAACGTTAAAGTTTGGGATTGGTTATTATTATTTGAATTCGTAACTTATTGTGAGAAATCAAATTTAATGCATTAAAAAATTTAACCCAACAAATCACTATAAAACTTAAGCAAAAAATTCTTAAAAATAAAAACATAAACCAAAATGCTGTCCTCGGAGATCTATAGTAACACCACAACTTCAACGGCAACAGCGGCAGTGGGAACCTCAGCGGCTTCTTCGGTGGCCACCGCATCCACAACGACAACTACGATGGCAGCCACCACAGTGCAGGTGGTGAAAACAAAGAAACGCCGCAAGCGACGCAAACGCGCAGGTCACGCAATCACCACCGCCACCGAAAAAAGCACCACCATCGCCAACACCACCAACTCCAGCAACATCCAGACCAGCCCCCGTCTTCATGCCGGGGAGAGCCTGTCCACCTCCGGTCCAGCTGGCATACACGCAAACGGGGGCAGAAAAAGTAAGGCTCCATATTTCCAGCACGACAACCGGGAGTACCTGGCCAAGTACGAGAGCTTCCGTTTAACCGCCCACACGTGGAACTATGCGGCGGTAGCCAGAAAGTTTAAGCCCTTGCGGCCGGCGTTGGCAAGCGGCGCCAACAAGACCAGGCGACCAGCAGTTCCCAAGAAGTCGCACCCGGATTGCGCCTGCGCCTGCCAACAGAAAGAACCGGAGCCGGCCCATCAGCAGGGTCACCGAACAGCTGAGCACTCCATCCCGAAGGATGTGCCTTCGCCACATGCGAAAATCAATATCGATGGAAGCGTGTTGCTTGAGCTGCTGAAATACTCCTCAAGCAGCCTTCTGGAGACACTGCTGGGAGCCGGCAGTGGGGTGGCAAAAAGGTAGCCGCGAAAATAAACCAAATCCGTCTAAAGATACCTATTTCCTTAGTTTAATCATGACAATCATAAAGTTAAGAAGGCCATGCTCTTTAAATTAAATTCATTAAAGGAAAACTGTCCTTCCTATCGACTTCTTGATTTTCAATACAAAAGTTGACAATGAGGCAAGGCTTAATAGATTACAAGATATTGTTATAACAAACTTGTTTGTTTATTCCATTTTTAGCGCTCGCGACACTCACCAAATAGCCGAGGCTCAGCAGCAGAAGAACGCCAAACTGCGTGAGGCCTTCAACATATCCGAGTACTTCGTGGAGGGCAGCAGCTTCGACACCGATCGCAAGGCGAAGGAGGACCTGGCCAAAAGCGTGGCTCTCCAAAAGGAACTGGACGCCCAGCGCGAAAGCCTGGCAGCGGCGGCAGCTGCCGCAGCAGCAGGCAAGGACAAGGAGACCGGGAAGCGGTATGCCCTAGTGCGCACTCCCTCCCGCGAAAGGGAACGAGAACGGGATGGAAACGATGTGGCGGCCACCAGCGGGGATGAGCGCGAACATGTCTCAAAGTCGGACAAGAAAAAGCGCAAGAAGCGCGCCAGGGAGAGGTGGGTGGATGATTTAAAGCCGCTTGTTAACTTTTTGTACTTACATCTATATTTCTAATTGTAGTTCAGCCAGTCCTGAGCGCAAGAAGGACAAGAAGAAAAAGTCGAAGAAGCATAAGAAAGAGAGGTAAGAGTCCTCGCCGGAACCCTAATTTGTAATCCTTCGACAACCGTAGCTCTGTGTTTGTTTCCTTTGCTCTTTGTTTGGACTCTACAGTCATGATTTTCGTTTCGTTCTTTATCGTACATAGTAACTATAAACACGTGCGCTTAAGGCGTGAAAACCAATGATACTATGTAACTATCAATCAACTGCTTAATACATTTTGTTTTTCGTCTCTACTCCTTCTTTTACATTGCATTTGAAACCACAAAAGGGACTCATATGAGAAAGAAAGTAAAAAGAAGCGAAAAGCCACGTACAAATGACTCACACTTAGTTTTAACTGTGCTAACACTACCCTACAAACCATAAGAACCAATCCAATCAAGTGAAATGTTTCAAATGCCTTTCTGCAATATATACTTTCGATATCCTAACACTTGCCAAGACAATCTTTTATTTGAATCCGTGTGCAGCGAGAGTGAGTAGAATGATCAGGGATCTAAGTACGTATGGGTTGTCCACTAGCCAGCACTCCACACTCGCCCACACGACACACACAGCCCGAACAAACCAAACCAAACCAAACCTAAACTAACCATAACTGATCACATATATTTCCCCCACACTTCGCCCATTCACATTTACCCAAACTCTGCCCTGCGGTAAGTAATAATTCGATTCTACAATCTATAAAACTATAGTCACTGCATTGCCAACTAAAATACAATACAAAATACAAGTAAAGAACTACTAGAAACTAAAACAATACAATAAACGATAACGTTAAGAGGTCTCTCTGTGTGTTGCAAAAATTAAAAGCGAATTACTTTCTCATCTTTCTTTCTATTGTTATGATTACCTTCTATAATGTTAAGACAAAGCAATTTGCGCAGTTTTCGATGAAGGTAAAGCACTAAACCACAAGTAAACCTATTTATACATTGCTGCTAACCAGTATTTTGGAGCTCTAGGGCTACCAAGCGCCTTGTCCAATCTGTGTGCTGTAGCAAGCACCGCAAACACTTTTGATTAGCTGACAACCGAGCCTGATTGTGGATGCACTAATTATTTATGTCACCTAACCTTCTACTTGCAGTAAGTCGAAGAAGAAAAAGTCACGCAAGCGCAAGCACAGCGAGAGTGGCCAGGATAGCGACAAGGACAGCGATGACGAGGACGATAGCAGCGAGGAGGATCGTCGCGAGTCGAAGAGTGCCCGAAAGAAGGCCAAAAAGGACAAGGTATGCAAGCCCAAGAGCCCGGCATGCTTACCGTGTAAGCATCTAAGCTATCAATATCCCGTGGAGAAAGGTGCGAGGAAAGATGGCCAGTGACCGGAGACGATCTGCATGTTTCATTGGTCAAGCAATCAAGGCATGACCAGAAACCATGTGTGAGATTGTGTATACCATACATACATACACATATACTCTTTAATAAAGAATCAAGCTCTGGCGCCCTTCTCCAACACACCAAACCGCAAATATTGTAACATATGCATATATCTATTCCTTTATTGTACCGACTCATCCTTTGACTAACAACCAACTAATTATTACGTCTGACCAAAAATCCGAATGGAAGTACGGCCTCTCTCTTTATATATTTACATATAATATTATTACCTGTATATGATGATAACTCGTTTGACTGTTCGTTTCGTTGTTTCAATTGTTCACCAAATATTAAACATACGCCATTTCTTCTCTTGCTTATTTACTTCTTTTCCACCAAATGAAACATTCAAAATAACGATTGACAAAATAACCAAGTACTGAACTATAATCCTGCATAAAATATGTTATCTATAACTACTAAAGCATACAATTAATAAGTAACAAAAAATTACCAAAAATCACCCACAAATATTGTAAAAGGTAAAAAGGCTTCAAACGCATTTTTGTATATCCTTATGATTTCTCTCTAAATTGTATACTTTTCTTTTACTCCTATAGATGCTTAGAAGAAATTCATTGTTCTAAAGGGGCTACCCACACAAAAGCCCAAAAAATGTTCTAAAATTTAAAATAGTGTGTATGGCCCCTTGATTTTGTTTACTTTTCAACATTCCTTAAAACAATTTTATGTTACACGTAGATCGTTTTTCCAACAAAAATCAATCCAACTAATTTAAGTAAATTCAAGAAACGAAAAGAAAATTTATATTTTGTTTACAAAACCCTTGGCGCTTCATTGTTATAGGATAGCTTTCAATGGCTCTCTTGTAGTTTTGTAAGTACTTTCATTTGACTGTTTTATTTAAGCTACTAATCAAAAACCATATGATACCTAGAGCGAAGTGATAGCCGATCGAAACTCTTGTACAAAATACAGAAAAAGCGAAAGCGAAATTGTTTCCAGTCCTAGAGAGAATGCTTGCGAAAGTCAAACGCTGCAAAATTTTAAGCACCAAACTCAAACTTCATATGTCTATCATGCCAAAAAGAATAAACTGTTGATCATTACTGCTAACAGTTAGACTCTTAGCAAGAGCTCAAATCATTTAGTCGGTCCCCTAACACTCTCAACTCTTTTATTATGCAGAAAAAGCGCGACAAGAAGCTGAAAAAGAAGTCACGAGCCCGTGCCAGCTCCTCGGATTCAGAGCGCTCAAAGTAAGTTATAAATTGTGAAAATTCGAAAACCTATTACTTAAATATCCTTTCTCTAGCTCTCCCCTCTCCAAGGAGAATAAGTCGGACAAGAGTCGTGGAATAAAAGCTTCCAAAGCTGATGAGAAGACTACGCAGCAGGACGATGCCAACCGCAGCCGATCTCGTGAGCGTCGTAAGGTGTCGAAAGTCCGACCGCATGAGTCCTCATTAGACAGTAGACATCACAAGCCGAGGGAAAAGTCGGCGGTCACTCCGCCGCGTAAGGAACCGGAAAGACAGCGTGAACACTCAAGGGACACGCAGAGATCCAAGGAAAGGCAGCGGTCAAGGGAAAGGCTGCGTTCTAGGGAAAGACAACGTTCCAAGTCCAAGGAGGGGCGATCCAAGGATAGGCAACGATCTAAGGAGAGACAGCGATCTAAAGAAAGACAACGACCCAAGGAAAGACAGCGTTCCAAGTCCAAGGATAGACGCCGATCAAAGGAAAGACAGCGATCGAAGGAACGAAGGCGTTCTAATGACAGACCACAGTCGAAGTCCAGGGATCGACAAAGATCAAAGGAAAGACACAGGTCCAAGGATAAGAAACAGTCGGTAGAAAAAGACGCGATAGGTCCAAAGACCGATCAAAGGAAAACCAGCGAACAAACGACAGGCCGCAATCAAAGGAAAGGTCCAAGGAGAGACATAGATCCAAGGAAAGACATCGCTCCACAGAGACGCAACGATTTAAGGAGAGGCAACGATCAAAGGAGAGGCTGCGATCCAAGGAGAGGCAACGATCCAAGGAAAGGCAACGATCCAAGGAGAGGCAACGATCCAAGGAAAGGCAGCGATCCAAGGAGAGGCTACGATCCAAGGAAAGGCAACGATCCAAGGAAAGGCAGCGATCTAAGGAACGTCAGCATTCCAGGGAACGTCCAGCCAAAGAATCTCGAGTCCCAAACTCGCCTAATGTGCGCAGTCCCAAGAAGAAAGACGATCGCCGTCAACGATCACCTTCCAATGCGAGCAGAAAGCGAACCGATGACAATAAGCTAAGTCGCAATTCGCCATCCCGGTCACCAGCCCATTCCCCAGAGGTGGCGCCGAAAAAAACGGCACCCACGCCAGCCTTTAACCCCTTTAAGGCGGCCGAGGACACCGTGAACGATATCCTGGGCACAAAGTCGGTTATGGTGGCCCTGGAACAGACAAAGCGCCAGAGAACTGCTTCCAGTTCTAGTTCGGACTCGGACAGCACCAGTAGTGACTCGTCTGCCTCCCGGACGCCATCGCCGAAACCCACTCCGAAAAAGCAAAAGAAGAGGAGTAGGACACCGGAACAAAAAGAGGTAAAGAGGGAGGTCAGTCCCAAGAAAGAACGTCGAAGGAGCGTAAAACGGGAGCGTTCAGCCTCCCCGCAAATATCGAAGCCAAAGAGCAAGGTGGTCGAACCGAGTCCTAAACCGGCGCGGCGTCGCTCTCGCTCGACTTCGTCGGAGCTGCGCTACTCGCCTGCTGAACGACATCCGGAGCGCTACCAAGACAAGAAGTTACCCTCCAAGGCTAAGGAAGCCCCCTCCGCGAAGCCCGCTCCTGTGGTTCGTTTGAGGGCACAAAGCGACGATGGGAGCGACGCCGAAACGGGAGTCGATGGTGCCGCTTTGGAGGAATTCCAGCAGAGCAGGCGTGAGCGCGAGGAGCAGCAGGAGCTGCGAATGCTGGAGCAGCTCAAGTCTGGCATTGCGGCCAAGGCCAAGCAGAAGATCAGGATTATGGAGAAAGACCCGGCAGCTAAGGAGGGCAGCGAAGTAAGTGGCAGCGACCTGGTGACGACTACAAAACGTAACTCGCTAAGCGAATTCCTCGTTGCTAACAATGTGACCGCTTTGATTAACCCACTGACAACGACCACGCCCCCGCCGCCCCTGGCGGTTATCCTGCCGGTGGAGCAGCGCAAGGAGCCGGGTCAGCTGCCGGACACGGATCGCGAGCTGCCCGTGACTGTGGAGGAGACGCTCAAGAAAAGGGACGCAGGCACTCCGCCCATTTGCAAGACGCCCCACGTGGCGGCGAATGGGGAGGCCAAGAGTCCGACAGTGGGCCAAAAAATCCATCTGCACCACCGGCCGCCTCCACAGCACCTCCACCAGCACCAGTCGCAGCAGCAGCATTTGCAGCATCCGCCGGGGAAGCGCATCTTCCACAACCGAACGCTGAACAATAACCCTAACAGTAGACATAGTACTAACAATCCTCATGCATGTGGTGGTGGTGGCGGGCTCCCCCATTCGAATCCCAACAGTAGTAATAGCAGCGGGAACAACGGCGGCAGCAACCCGGCCATGCTGCCCTTCCTGGCGGGCACGCCGGGCACCTACAACCGCACGACGAACCGGCTCAATCACGGCCCCCTGCTCACCGCGACGCACTACAACATCTGCAAGAACCACCAGCACAGCTTGCAGCAGCAGCAGGCGCACCACCTGGCCCGTGGCCTGGTCTACAACTCATCGCTTTTCGGCGGACCGAGGCATCCAGGATTGCTATCACTTGCGGGAGCGGGTGTGGGCGTCGGTGGGCAGGGTGCTCCGCTGCTTGGCCATCCGCCGCACATCCGGGGTGGCGGTGGTGGTCCCATTAGCTTCAACGCGGCTGCAGCAGCCGCTGCCGTGGCCGCCAATAGTATTAGCTACCATCATCATCACCATCAGCACCAACAGAAACCGAAAATCGTTATAAAACCCTTCAAAATTCACGATCCACAGCCCCTGGTCGCAGCGCTCGCGGACAGCTCGCTGGTCGACGCCATCGTCTCCAAGGTTTCCACGGCCACCGTGGCGGCGGCAGCAGCGGCGGAGAGTGCGGCGCGCAGAAGCCGAAGTCGTGAGCGTCGCAGCCGGAGTCGCAGTAAGAGGCGCACCAGCGGGAGCCACCATCGACATCACTCCAGCAGCCGCTCAAGATCGTAAGTATTTCTCGATACCTACCAAATATTAAGTTATTTTAGTTCTAGATAAAAATGTTTAATATTTCCCCATCGATTGCACATTTTAATATGACTTGAATTGAAAAATATTTACGTAGATTAAAAAACTTTAAAATTATTCTTATTTTTCTTATTAGGCGCTACAGCTCATCCAGCAGTCGAAGCGGATCGCGCAGCTCCAGGTCCCGCTCCGGGTCGCACTCTTCCCGCTCCAGCTGCTCCTCGCACAGTAGTTCGGGCAGTTCCTCCTCCGGCAGCGGCTCCGGATCATCGCAGTCCGGCTCTCGGTCCCCATCCATACCCAGGCGTCGCGGTTCGCCAAGCTTTCTAGACAGACGTCGCATAACGAGGTAGCTACACATGATTCCTGCTCTGTCTTCTGTGAAGTGTTTTTTTATATATTTATATTTTAATCCTTTTATTTCATATTTTATTTATTGATTTCCGTAGCCGTCGATCGCCACGCAGCACAAGACGCTAGTTGGTTGCCATTATCCATTATCCGCTTGAGTTTCACTGATTACACATTTTATTTATATAACACGTAACGCCTGATTTTGTCTAAATGATTTTATATTTTTCAGCTGACTCAGGAACTACTTATAAATCGATTTTTTAATTGCCCACAATTTTCTCTCTAATAACTTTTTGTAGATACCCATTTGTGTTAATTTCTTAATTCCCGTAATTCAGCCAAGCAGCAAATAAACTCTGTCACTTTACCGAATATTTGGTTTCATAGGATTTTATTTAATTTTTAGCGAAAACTTTTGTGTTCCTTTCGATTTTCAGTTTGGTGAGTTATTTATTTGATTTCCCCTCTAAGCAATAAACAAAATCCGCTTACTAACTTGTTGCATCGTAATTTCAGTGCCCGTAAGCGACCGATTCCGTATCACCACAAAGCCGCTGGGGAGGGCGAGGCGGAGGAGGCCTCCAGTTGCTGCTCCAGTTGCTTCAGCCGCGCCAGCAGTCCGGCCACACCCCTTCTCACACCTCTGCGCAACAGCCGGAGTCCTTCGATGGCCGCCTTCTGAGTGTTAACCGCGTCGCTGCGCAAGATGTGCGGCGAGTCCTGAGGAAGGAATAAGGATAACGATAGCGATACCCCTCGACCACACTCATCCTAGTCACCTCGAAAAATAGTCAGACTTGTAGTCCCTAAGAAATGTAGTTGTTATGCGCATTTAACTCGTTTTACACTTGCATTCCGTAGTTTTAAGTTAGTCATCTGCCCATGAATTTACTAGCGAAATTATATTCTTGCCCCTTATTAAGCCAATAATACTCGTTTGTAAGCCTTTGCTCGATTATTTGCTAGTTTTAAGCTGCGTTTAATATAAAAAAATTATTTGTTGCCTCTCGAAGCGGGTTTCTTTTGCTTACAAAATGCACGTTTCACTTTTACGAACACCAGGCAAACAGAAACACCCAGCAGGCCATCTACGATCAGCTGGTTCAATTGCATTTTGTTTTTTAACTAACGGTTGTGGGTGTCCATTTTGAATAACAGCTGTTCAACAATGCACTGGAAGTAACAGCTGATCAGTTGATGCGCACTAAGATCGTAGGTACTTGCTAAGCGTTTCTGTTGGCCTGGTGATCCAAGTCCGTAAATCTCGACATTCGCCTTGGTTTTCGAGTTTCCCCGGCAACCAAATTCACAGAATTTTTGATTTAAGCTACTAGGGGAACATAAATGCTTAGTAAGTGGCCAACAGTAAGTTTTTATTTTTTTTAGCGACGAGAGCGTGAATATAATTTTGCTCAGGATCTAATTTAATGCATGGGAACTTCGTGAGTGATCGTGCTTGTCAGGACAAACTCGTGACACGTACAAAAAAACAAGAGGTTTCCCCATCCCTAGTCCACTACACTTCAATAACGGTTGTTTTCCAGTTTCGAGAAACAACCGTTACTTGGAGATTTTTCGTATTACATAGCAACCTGCTAAGCGTTTCTGTTGGCCTGGTGATTAAGCTACTAGGGGAACAGAAAAGCTTAGTAGGTGACCAACAGTCAATTTCTTAGTTTTAAAATTCCGTTATTAGGAGATTTTCATAATCGTCAACAGCTGATCCTGATTCGCCTCCGAAACCATTTCAAATGACACTGCTTTTATATTACTTATACGTTTATTTTTAGTACGAAAAGTTTAAAAAAATTTAAGGTTTAACAACAGTCGGTTGATAAGGCGGCGCACCATTTAGTTTTAGCTTATCTTTAGGCCCTCATCCACACACGAAGTTTTTGCAATCCGCCGGAACGCAGGGCAGATAAAGAACTTGAAGCAGTACGGCCGTAATCTAAACAGTAATTGGAATATTAAGCCAAGACAACATGCACAAGGTTTAAAGTCTTCGCGACTGAGGAGGAATGCTTATTTGGCGGCCTTCTCGGCTGCCAGCTTCTCCTGGAAACGGCGACGCCTCTGGGCAATGTACACCACCCAGATGAACGAGATGATGGCCATGCTGATGGACCGGAACATCGGAGGCACGTAGGCGAAGTTAAGATAGACGAACAGGGAAAGGTACTGCCAGTTGGCCTTCAGCAGAGGCCAGTAGAGCTTCTCCACATTCTTCACCGCTGTGTTAGGGGAGTTGCCCTGGAAAGGATTAAGGGTCATAAAAAAATTAAAGGGCAATATTTGCTTGTAACTAATCTTTCAGAGATTAAATAACGATATCTAGAGAATGTGATTCTCACCTCGAACAAGGACAAGAAGAACAGTGATAGAGCCTGGTAGATGGGAGCGTAGACCAGCCGCTCGGACAGGAACAGGAAGAACCTCCTGAATCGCACATCGTGGTTAAAGAGTCGCTCCACCGTTGTATAGAAATAATGGGGTACACTTCCACCGAAGATAAGGCCAAATAGTCCGTAGGCAAATACACTATGCTGGTTGAGGGTCTTGGCTCCCGCCAATCTTTGCGAGGTCACATTCGCCGAGGTGGCCAGGACGCATCTGCAAGAAGGAGTCACAAAGTTAGGTTAGAGTGATAACAAGTTTATAGTACTTACGCCGTAATGGACTTAGTGCGGACCGGATGGTTAAAGAGCTGCTCCAGATAGGATCCAAAGAGCGAGTACAGAGGCTTCGAGAGAACCATTTTACCGGGTTATAAATATGTGCCTAAAGTTGAGTCCGTAGGATGCAGGTCAAAGTGCAAAGTGCAACTGGACGCGCTGATAACAAACCAGTTTCGAACTGTTAACCCGAGAATTGCAAACGTCTTGGCCGCCGACAATCTACTGTGAATTTTTACCAACACCTGTGGACACCAGGTACCAACTAAAGTTTATGTTATTTTTTTCTCCAGCAACTATCGATATCAATTTAGCGCCGTGCCAATCGATAAGTGGCAAGTGCTGGTCAGTCTACGAGGGTCGTCAGTGCATTAAGTTCAGCACAATTTTCCAGAAACCCCCAAAAACTATAGTAGCTCTTGAGCATTAAGTTCTTCCGTCTGCGATGGAGTTTCCGCCTTGTCCTCCTTCGTTAAAGTCTATCCAGCACTTTTTGAAGCTGGCCCAGGAACACGACACCCGGGATGTGGTCATTGCTTACTGGGCAAGACTCTAGTAAGTACCCACAGAATTCTTTCCTCTAAGCGTGTGTATTTACTATTTCTTGGTTGTCTCCAATCCCAGTGCCCTCCAAGTGGGTCTCAAGGCCTCCACCCAAACGGGCGAGGAAACCAAACTGCTACTCGGTAAGCAAGAACCTGATACGCAAATTTTCCCTCATATGACTCATCCTCGATTTGTTTTGTTTTGGTTTCCCCTTCAACCGTAGGCATTATGGACTGGCTGGAGCAGATGAAGAAACAGTACGCGGATAACGAGGCGGTGACCAATGAGGTGGCTGCCCAGGCTCACATCGAAAACTACGCCTTAAAACTGTTTCTGTACGCCGACAAGCAGGATCGGGAGGAGAACTTTGGCAAGTGGGTTTTCTCAGCAACCCCTCCACCAATAATTTCCAGGATATATATACTTGTATTCTTCCCTTGCAGAAACGTTGTCAAGGCCTTCTATTCTAGCGGAGTGCTTTACGACATACTCCAGACTTTCGGGGAGCTGAGCGAGGAGGCACTACACAACAGAAAGTACGCCAAGTGGAAGGCTGCCTACATCCACAATTGCCTGAAAAACGGAGAGACACCGATTCCCGGTCCTTTACCAGATGACGATGATGAGGCGGAACTCGAGGGGGGAATGCCAATGCAAACGCCTCGGCAGACGCATCACCCGAGGATGAAGCGGGAGCTGCTCCATCTGAACCTGAACCTGCTCCCACTTCGCCGACGACTTCCAGCGTAGTGCCTCCCACAGCCGAGGAGGTGCTGAACAATCCGAACAAATTGCCCAGTCCGCCGGTGGACGAAGAGAAGCCGGGTGGCTTTGAGCCCTATGTGCCCACCGCACAGCCGCACCCGGCCACGGCGGCCACCATTTACCAGCCCATTGTGCCCGTGGCCGGAGTGCAGATCACTCCTGACCAAATGATTACCGCCCAGAAGTATTGTAAGTACGCCGGGAGTGCTCTCAACTATGACGACGTGAAGACGGCCATTGAGAACCTGCAGAAGGCCCTCAAGCTATTGAGCACTGGATCCGAGTAGGGCCAACATATATGTATATGTTAAGAATAATTTTGTAGGCACAGTTACGGCTTAGAGCACCACTATAACCAATAATCTCCCGCTTAACACGCGTTGCAAAAGAAAAGTGAATAGAAGTTTAGAATGACGTTGGATAATTATTTTTGTATATGTATGAGTTGTTCAAATTTATTAAAATTGTTTCTAAAAGTCGTAATTTAGATGGATTCGACTAAGTGCCCGTTACGAAGAGGATTTGATTACAATTTGTTTTGTTCTGGTCGTGTCTTTATGCCGCGGCTCTACATTTTTAGTTAATATCTCTCGACATTACATACAATATAATAGTTTTGTATACGATAATTGTTTTGGCACCAAAGTAAAAACATGAATTTCGATTTGCTAGAATGATGTGAATGAGTTTGTGACCCGAAGAAAGGGCGCACCAATTGCTTTCGAACCCAACTTAAGGTGCAAAAACAAAGCTGGAACAGTGAATGACTATGAGTACGCTGTGATGCAACGGGAGCAGGTGCCTAGTCCTGCTTGACGCCGTTCGCCGGAGGCTGGGCGGCCGTCGAAGCCTCGTCCTGGAGGCGAGCGGTCTGATACCAGACCACCAAACGGCCGCCCAGCATGAAGGTGAACACCAGCGCCGGTCCGGAACGCTCGAAGGGATCACTTACCATCCAGTGCTGGTAGATGCCCAGCAGCATCAGTACCAGTAGCGTCACATTGGCGGCGTTCTTGACCTTATCTGTGGTTGAGCATGGAATACATTGATATCTTTTCACCTAAATGTCATCTCTCCAACTTACGATAGGGAATCAGAGCCATGGCCAGGCCGCAAACGATCTCCAGGATGCCAACGGTGCGCCGGTACCATTTTGAGGGGATCTTCACTCCGAACAAGGCCGTCAACGGGAATACTTTGGCATATTTCACGTACTCCGTGCGCTGAAATTGAGAGGAAATCGAATATGACTTCGCTGCGGAACGGGGATATAATTAATCATGCCCAGAGGAATTTGCTCCGACTGGCGGCCCAGCGGAAGGCAGTGCAGCCCGTTTATTTTTAAATGGAAACAGTATTTTCTTGTTGTCACATTTGTATGCAGTTCTCTCTGTTTTTGTTGGCATCGTTGGCCCCAAGTGTTTGTGGTAATGCGAAGGTAATTACACCGTTGGGAAACACCGAGCAAGCAAAAAAAAAAATATTTCGAAATTCAAATACCATACTTTGGCAAAAAATAGAACGAAAAAACATGAGGTTAGAAAATAAAATGGCGCGTAACGAATGCAATGCCAATTTGAAACCATCGACTGCATTAAATATACGATGTACTTTTAATGTTGGCTAAACAAATGTTGAGAACATATTCAAAACTATGGTGAATATTATTTTCGCTTTTCTTTAAAATATCTATTTATTTCTCACATACTTTTGTCGACCCACCCTATTATTTATATATAAAACAAATACGTATACCCTGAATTGATCGAGAATCATACGTCATGGTGGTTTTGGTGTGCAAAATTGTTTACATTGGTATGCTAAATATTTTTATGGTAATGAAAACAAAATCTTTGGGCGTTGATTTTACAAAAAGTAAACACAAAATTCCCAGCAACAGCTGTTCTATAGATCTTTTGATTTTCCAACACGCATGTTCCTAGTTTGTTTAGAGGCTTTCAAAACAATTAAGTTGATTATCAAACAATTTTCCAAACTTCCCAACCCCATCTGGGTTTGGTGACATATGCGAATAGTTTTGGAAACCATCTGGAGGCGATCAGACTTTTCTTTTATGGGCCCTTTATTGGGGTATGATATTCCCTGTGTGTTTCAGACTTTGAATATAATTTTTTGAAATTACAGGTACGTACTACGTAGTACAAATTGGCCATCTGAATTTTAGGTTTCGGTTTTATATTTAATGAAATATAAAATATTAATAGTTGATATTTTTTTTGGTTTTCAATTTATAAACAATCTATTTAGATAATTAAAACGTGTGCACCCTATACCAAACTGAATTTCAAAAGTATTTCTTTAACCATCAAAATGTAACATTGTTTGGAAAATTTTCTGACAATTATAATTTAAATTTTCATTGGCTTTTTCGATAATAAGCATATATTTTCCTTACAATATATATGAAGATCATAGCGTCGCGCAGCGACTGAATGTCAGCTAATGGCATTGACGGGGTCGAGTTCAATGCCCATTAGACCGTCATATTTACCAAAGTCGTTCTATTATGAGAGTTTTCCTAAAATGTTTTTCCAATTATTTACATAATGGCTGTTCTGTTACAAAACTGTTTCAAACTGGCCTTTCACGAGAAGTGGGAAAAATCAATGGGCTGGGCCCCCGTGTAACCGCAAAGAAAACAAACAGGCTGAAAAACAAGCTCCGGCTCTATCGATTTTCCACATACCAGGTCCTTATAGAGATCCTTGCTAATATGCGGCGTTAGCTTCAGAGTTCCCACGAAAATGAAAAACAGACCCAATAAAACGGAGAGGCTCTTGAGCACGATTGTATTGGATGCAGGAGGCATCTTAACCGATTTATGGGTAAACACTTTCGTGGCTCACAACTTGTGTATATATCCGAAGTGGACCGCTGGGGGTTCGGAGGGGCCGGAGTTCACTGGGACCCCCTATACAACACCCTACGCCAAACACACCGGTCGCTAATTTTAGACCAATCTCGCAGCTTTTCGTGCCGATTCGGACGGTGCGGCCACCAACAAATTGAAGCACACAATCCGAATGTTTTCAAATCGCTGCGGTATGTATAAATTTATGAATTTTTTAGTCCGCGGCGTTCCCTTCTATTTATTTCATGTTCGCTCGACGCCTTTCCGCTTTCAGTTTCGCGTTCGCAAAGAGACTGAATCAGACCAGTTGCAAAGTTTATTTCGGCAGCATCCCAAATGGCGGAAAATCAATATCTGCTCACATGCCCGGTCTGCTCCGCTCGAATCGAGAGTTAAGAGAGGATAGCCGGCCCACCCCGGAGAGTACGGCGGTACGGAAAGGCAGCTGGACCCACTCCTCGTGTTCTTCGGATGGTCGGGTGGTGGTTGTTCCGAAACTGGCGCAATTAAGGCCAAAGACCCCGGCCAGCAACCCTTAAGGAGCCCCAAATAAACAATCATTAGGTGAACATCATTTTTTTCGCCAAATGCATGGCCTACAAAAGTTCAATCTTTTTCCTGCTGTTGTTTTTTTTAGCATTTTAATTTAAAGTTAAACAAAAAATGAAGCTTGCTTCGGCGAGTCGAAGAAAGGGTAAAAAAAAATTAACTCAGAATTATAGACAAACTCAGATAAAAATATGAGAGATTATTTAAAAAAATTTATTGTCAAATTTACTTAACTCTACAAGCTTTATTTAACTCTACGAGCTTTAATAGAACTCTACCAGCCCATTGGTCCTCCGGGCATCCCAGGACCTCCTCTGCGATGATGCTCCTCAGGTGGAGTCTGGGGCGTGTGGTAGATCCTCTTGGATTCAGCCATGCGTTGATTGTAGCTTTGGATCTGTTCTTGTAATTGAGCATCCTCCTGCTGGGCGCGTACTTCGTCAAACTCCAGACTGGCCACTCCGTCCAGTCTATCCAAGTCCACCCATCCCCGAAAGCGAACACAGACCCCGTTCATGATGAAACTGGACCGCAGATGTACTTTGCCACGTTCCCGATCGAAATCGCACTCCTGCTCCTGGGCATATGGATTGTGGTTGGCGTTAAAGTACAGCTGCAGGTTGGTGCCGGACGCTACCATTGAGATCTCTGCATAGCCCTTGCGACAATCGTTGATGAATCTTAAGCGGCGCTCCTCTGCTGCCCGTTCTCTGTAACCCGTGTAACGCACTTCACTTTCTCGGCTCAGTCGCCGGAATAGCTCGTCACTTTCAAACTTTGACCTCTGATCGGGCACCACCCGAGGCATCTTAAAGATGAATCGAGGTTTTGGCTGTTCGTACATTGCCATGGCTTCGTAAGGCGGCAGCATTCCGTTTAAGGCTGTCGCGTCTCCGAGATTCTGGTGATGATGCATGATATTGAATCTGTCTGTATTCTCTGAAGGAACAATGTTTTCTGATCTCCAGTGGGACATTTTTGCTTATTTATACCAAATAAGAGTTAAGAGTGCAGGTATTCAGGGCGTATAACCGAGACTACCTGAAGAATGTTTTATGACCCTCTGGGTTTGGTGACATATGCGAATATTTTTGTAAACCATCTGGAGGCGATTAGACTTTTCTTTTATGGCCCCTTTATTGGGGTAAGATAATCCCTGTGTGTTTCAGACTTTTAATACAATTTTTAAAATTACAGGTACCTAGTACAGATATGCAATTTTTCTTTGGATAGCACACTTAGTTCATCACGGATATTGAATATTCAAAAGCATGTGTTAACGGTTTTTTAAAGTGTTGAAAAACTCTGCACATTAAAAACAGAAGTTGCCAGCAGTTCAATTTTTAAATAGTTGACAACTCTACTCGCATAAAACAGCTGTAGCTTGTGTATTTACTTGTTTCATACAACGATTTCTTTAAAATGTCGCTTGTTGCTTATGCCGCTAGTTCTGACGAGGATTCAGAGAACGAAGAGGAAAACACGGGACCACAAGTCGAACTGTTGAAGCCAAGCACAAAAGCCGTGACAGTTACTTCCAATGAGATTTCCCTCGAGCCAGAATCAACCAGTGGGCACATTAGCGATGAAGACGACGATTTTGTACCCCAAGAAGTGTCCTTGCAGGAACTCAGACAGCCCGCTGGAAAACTCACACTGGCCTTACCCAAGCCAAAAGTCACTTCTTCCGCGGAGTATTCTGAAGAGGATGCTGACGAGCTGCTCGCCCCAGTTTTTGCCAAGCTGCCAATGCCACGAACGGCACTGCCAGCAAAAGACGTTATCGAGGAAAAGGATGATGAGTTCCTGCACAAAAAGGCTTTGGCAGTTGAAATAGAAAAACCCCCACCGCCACCCGTCAAGGGACGTGTCAAGATCAGCATTCCTTCTCTGCGGGATTTCTCCGACGTAGACCGAGAAAAAGCTGACAAGGCCAAGCACAAAGTGGAGAAACCCAATGTTCCTAAGGGTTCTGGTCTGCTAAGCCTTCTGCCGCAAGCAAAGTCAGAGAGGAATTTCTCTAAAAGCTCTTCTTCCGTGGCCGCCACTTCCTTCGCAAGCACCACTCCTAATCCTAAGCCAACTCATGAGCCCGTGTATCCCAAATCTTCTCCTGCATTTGTACCCGATACAGTGAAACAGCGGCGTGCAGCGCACAACACCGAAGGCGTCGACAGTTCTATAACAATAAAAAAAAAATATTCCGAAGGAAAGGATGCCTCGAAGGATGGACAATCAAAACATTTTGCTAAACCCGCATCCATTGTAAATGCTAGTGACAGTGAAGAGGACGATGAGAATGGCACTGGTGACTTCTTTTCCCTTAACTCCAAACAAAAGCTACCGGAGGTGAGCAGCAACGAGATTAGCGCTCTAGTGGCCAAGCGGGCAGCCAAGATGGTAGAAGCCGGTAACAAATACCTTGAGGAGATTGCCGAAAAGGAAGCGGCCGAAGCAGAAGCCGCTCGACTAGAAGAGGAACAAACACAGCTGGCACAGAAGCGCTACCACGAGCAGCAGCTAAACTCAGAGGCCATGGACGCATTGGTGGGCAAGAATGCCAAACGCCGACGGAAGGAGGCCAAGGAGATGCAGGTGATCGACATAAGTGGCTCTCAAGTTTTGCCCGATCGGGAGGAATGGATGCGAACTGCTTTGGCATCGTCCACCACCTTCCAGCCCACCGGCGTGCTGACAGATGAGGAGCCAGTGGCAGGGACGCGGCGAAAGCACCAGATCACCTACCTGGCGCACAAAGCCAAAGCAAACGAGGCCGAACTGCAGGCCATGTGGTCGGCTAATCGACAGACCCGTCGAGCCACCCAAAGCAAATATGGCTTTTAAGTTTCCACTTTATGTACATCTCTTATCTTACAATATATACTTAATCCTACATCATAATCCAAAATCTTATTGAATCCAGCCCTCGCGTTTTCCCAGCCTGCTGCCCACATAAAATATGGCGGTGCTTAGGAGCAAAACCACTGGGGCAATAGTCACGTAGATGGGAATCTGCTGCGGGTACTCTAGCGTGAGGCAAATCATCACCTGGGAGGAAATGGTCAGCAAGACGCCTGCAATGTTCCATTTGTAAAGAAACAGCAGATCCGTCAGACAAGTTAGGTTCCTCCATTTGCGGATAAACTTGATTATCACGTAGATTATGATAATGACATCGAAAAACCAAAGCGGCGTAAAAGTGACGAACCAATTCCATGTTGTGCGCGGATCCAAGCGTAGGCACAACAGGATTAGAAAAACCAGAACAATAAACCACGTAAAGAGCGCCCGATGTGCGAGCGTCATGTTGGTTAATTATTTATAACTTTTTCATGGTAGGTCAAGAAATAAACAAATCCCAAATGCATCAAATGTACTTTTAACTTCAGTGTTGTAAAATTTGTAAAGGTTGATGTCAACAAAAGTCATATTTTTTAGTAGTATTTTTACTACTTCAAATTTTGATTAAAATTTACACTTTATTTAAGATTTTCGGAAAAAGGGAAAGTCATATTTGAATAAACAAATATTTTGAGACCGTATTTTCCATAAACTGACACGTCTGATAGCCAGAGTGGATCTGCCAGTGGGTGACAACCCTGTGTGCGTAAGCAAGAGAAGAAGAAGATAATTGACGTGTCACAATTCCGACAATTGGTTGGTGTTTTAGAAAAAAACTAATTGTTAGCAATAGATTACGTTTTACTTAAAGTTTAAATAAACCCTACATTTGTTCTTAAACCATCTCTTCATGTTTTGATACAGGTGTGTGCGCGAGGCAACCAGAAAAGGGCGCTTGAACGAAAAGCCGACGACACCCAGAACAGGAATCGAATTGAGACACCTACGAACAGAACGGAAAAAGTGCCAACATGTTGACCAATTTTGAGTCGAAGTCGGCACGGGTGAAGGGCCTTTCTTTTCACCCGAAACGGCCGTGGATCTTGGTCAGCTTGCACAGCGGTGTCATTCAGTTGTGGGACTACCGGATGCACACGCTTCTCGAGAAGTTTGACGAGCACGACGGTCCAGTTAGAGGCGTTGCTTTCCACCAGCAGATGCCGCTCTTTGTCTCTGGCGGCGACGATTATAAGATCAAGGTGTGGAACTACAAGCAGCGTCGCTGTATCTTCACGCTGCTGGCCCATTTGGACTACGTGCGCACTGTGGCCTTCCACCACGAGTACCCATGGATTCTGAGCGCCTCTGATGATCAGACCATTCGCATCTGGAACTGGCAGTCCCGCAACTGTATCTGTGTATTGACAGGTCACAACCACTACGTGATGTGCGCCCAGTTCCATCCCACGGAGGACCAGATTGTCTCCGCATCGCTGGATCAGACGGTCCGCGTGTGGGACATTTCTGGACTCCGCAAGAAGAATGTTGCTCCCGGCCCCGGGGGTCTTGACGATCACCTGAAGGGTCACCCTGGTGCCACCGATTTGTTCGGCCAAGCAGATGCCGTAGTGAAACATGTACTTGAGGGCCACGACCGTGGCGTCAACTGGGCCAGCTTTCATCCCACTCTGCCACTGATCGTGTCAGGCGCCGATGATCGCCTGGTTAAGCTGTGGCGCATGAACGAATATAAGGCCTGGGAAGTGGATACTTGCCGCGGACACTACAACAACGTGTCGAGCGTGCTGTTCCATCCTCGTCAGGATCTGATTCTCTCGAACGGCGAGGATCGGAGCATTCGCGTCTGGGACATGACCAAGCGCCAGTGCCTCTTTACATTCCGGCGGGACAACGAGCGCTTCTGGATTCTCACAGCGCATCCAACTTTGAATCTTTTTGCTGCTGGCCACGATGGAGGTGAGTTTATTATTTCATTTTAAAGCGTATTTTTCGATAATAGGATTTTTAATTTTCAAGGAATGGTGGTCTTCAAGTTAGAGCGCGAGCGTCCCGCATATGCTGTGCATGGCAATATTCTCTACTACGTAAAGGAGCGCTTCTTGCGCAAATTGGATTTTACCACCACCAAAGACACGGTGGTGATGCAGCTGCGTCCAGGCAAGTCGCCGGTTTACAGTATGTCTTATAATCCGGCCCTGAACGCTGTGCTGATCTGCACTCGTACAAACAACCTGGAGAACAGCACCTACGATCTGTGCCAGATTCCCAAGGACACGGAAAGCCAGAGCGAGTCGGACAGCAAGCGCAGCTCTGGAGTGACGGCTATATGGGTGGCCCGCAATCGGTTTGCAGTTCTGGATCGCAACCAGCAGTTGGTGATCAAAAACTTCAAGAACGAGGTTACGAAAAAGCTGCCCACATTCTGTGAGGAAATTTTCTATGCCGGCACGGGAATGCTGCTCATCCGAGATCCCGAGTTTGTCACCCTCTACGAGGTTCAACGCCTCGTCTCCGTGGGAAGCATCAAACTGGCCAAGTGCCGCTATGTGGTGTGGTCTCCGGACATGTCATTAGTGGCCCTGCTCTGCAAGCACTCTGTGACCATCTGTGACCGAAGACTCCAATACTTGTGCACTGTGCAAGAGAACTGTCGGGTGAAGTCTGGAGCCTGGGACGAGTCGGGCGTGTTTATCTACACCACTAGCAACCACATCAAGTACGCCATTACCAACGGTGACCACGGCATCATCCGTACTCTGGACTTGCCAATTTATTTGACACGCGTCAAGGGCAACCAGGTATTCTGCTTGGATAGGGAATGCCGAACTCGCGTGCTCCACATCGATCCCACGGAGTACAAGTTTAAGCTGGCCCTAATCCAGCGCAAGTACGATGAGGTGCTGCACATGGTGAGGAATGCGCGCCTGGTGGGTCAGAGCATTATCGCCTACCTGCAGCAGAAGGGCTATCCAGAGGTGGCACTGCACTTCGTCAAGGACGAGAAGACTCGTTTCGGACTGGCTCTGGAATGCGGCAACATCGAGATCGCTCTAGAAGCTGCCAAGGCTCTGGATGACAAGGATTGCTGGGATCGCCTGGGCCAAAGTGCCCTGCTCCAGGGCAACCACCAGGTGGTGGAGATGTGCTACCAACGAACCAAAAATTTCGATAAGCTCAGCTTCCTCTACCTGATCACTGGTAACCTGGAGAAGCTCAAGAAGATGAACAAGATCGCTGAGATTCGCAAGGATGTATCCGCCCAGTACCAGGGTGCTCTGCTTCTTGGTGACGTTAAAGAGCGTGTAAACATCCTTAAAAACTGCGGACAGCTTTCGTTGGCTTATCTTACGGCTGCTACTCATGGTTTTGAGGAGCTTTCCGAATCTTTGGGCGAATCAATCACCTCGCAAGGTAACTCTCTTCCCGAGGTGAATCCCAATGCACAGCTGCTGCAGCCCCCAGTGCCCATCCAGCAACTGGAGACCAACTGGCCACTGCTCTCCGTTTCTAAGGGCTTCTTTGAAGGTGCCATGGTTACCAGGGCTGGATCAAGTGCCACTGCCCGCCAGGCGCTGAACATTAACGCCGATGCTGCTGTGTTGGACGAGCACAATGGCGGCGGCGACGGCTGGGGAGCGGATGCCGACTTAGGATTGGACGAGGACGGAGATGAGGAGATGCACGACGCATTGAGTAACGATGGAGAGGGCGGAGCAGGCGGCGAGGATGGAGCCGGCTGGGATGTCGGCGATGATGATCTGGTTGTTCCCGAGGAGCTGGCCTCCAAGATCAAGGCCTCGGCGCTGGACAGCAACTATTATGCCGCCCCCAACAAGGGTTTGTCTCCCGCTCAGCAATGGGCCAATAACTCACCGCTTGTGCTGGATCATGTTAAGGCTGGATCCTTTGAGACCGCATTCCGCTTACTGCACGATCAGCTGGGAGTGGTTAACTTCAAGCCATTCAAGACACTTTTCCTGCAGAACTATGCCTGCTCTAGAACCAGTTACACGGCCAACCCGAATCTGCAGTCGCTAAGTGGCTATCCGCTGCGTAACTTTTCCGAAACCAACATCAAGTTGCAACGTCCGGCGTTGGGCATCAAGCTGAACGATTTAGTGGCTCGTCTGCAGGCTGGCTACCAACTTACAACATCTGGCAAGTTCTCTGAGGCAGTGGAGAAGTTCCACTCCATCTTGATCAGCATTCCACTGCTGGTGGTGGACACGAAAGTGGATATGGCAGAGGCCCAACAGTTGCTGAGAATCTGCGCCGAGTATATTGTCGGTCTGAAAATGGAGACGGTGCGCAAGGGCATGCCCAAGTCGACGCTGGAGGAGCAAAAACGTCTTTGTGAAATGGCCGCCTACTTCACCCATTGCAAGCTGCAGCCCGTTCACCAAATCCTCACCCTGCGCACAGCCCTCAATATGTTTTTCAAGCTGAAGAACTACAAGACAGCTGCCTCGTTTGCGCGTCGTCTCTTGGAGCTGGCTCCGCGTCCGGATGTTGCCCAGCAAGTGCGCAAGATTCTTCAGGCCTGCGAGGTGAACCCCGTGGACGAGCACCAACTGCAGTACGAGGAGTTCAATCCGTTCACTATATGCGGTATCAGCTGGAAGCCTCTCTACAGGGGTAAACCAGAGGTGACCTGTCCTTTCTGTTCTTCCTCATTCGATCCGCAGTATAAGGGCAACCTCTGCACGGTGTGTGAGGTGAGCCAGATCGGCAAGGACAGCATCGGACTGCGCATTTCCAATCTGCAATTCCGCTAGGGATGAAAGCTTGTTGCTTTTTAATATATGTTTTCTCCACGCCAAGCGAGACCCCTTAGTTTAGTTTTACACGATCCTTGCTTATTATGTATGAATATAAAGTTCAGTATCTGTATAATATAATGGTATAAAATCAATTTAAGCTGCTGTTTTTTTTAACTCGAAAGCAAAAACTGTTATGAAGACTAGGTAATTTATTAATGGTTCTTCTTAACCGATGAATACTGTATTTGCAGATAAAGAGCTTTCGAAGTATTCATTTATTTTGATTCCTAACCCCGATGGGTAATCACCAATCAAGTGGCTCATTTAGGCTGCGTCACAGCGGAAATCCCAAAATTAACAATGCGGTATCGATTAGTAATTATGTATTTTAGTTAAAGATACGACACTAATTCCACACTAAGTTGTAAGTATAATACCATAAAAGCATACGTAAAGTAAGCATTAGATCTAACACTAATCTAAGAGCATATTTATTCGAGCGTGTCTAACGGCATCGTGTTGAAATCTCGCAAGGGAAGACCCCTTCAAAGGGCTTGGAGCATTCTCAGTTGTCCATAAAATATTGAGTATTCGCGAATTGAGTCTCTAGCTGCTGGTGAGGCGGCTGCTGCTGTTGGAGCTGCAGCTGCGTATGTGACGGCCCAGGTGCCGTCCACAGGTCCAACTAACGGCGCCACATGCTCGCGCCGACGCCAATGCCCCCAGAAGCAACACCCCGCCGCACGGCCTCCATCTCGTCCTGCCGGTTGTCGCGGTAGGCTCTCTTGGTATCCTCGAACTCGCGCAGGCGCTGGTTGTAGCGATCGATCTGATCCCGTAGGATTGCATCCTCGTGCATTGCCCGCCGTTCGTCGTACTCCAGACAACCCACGCCGTCCAGCCGCTCTAGATCGATCCAGCCGCGGAAACGAACGCACACCCCGTTCATTATAAAGTAGGATTTGATGTGCACCTTGCCGTGCTCCTTGTCGAAGTCGCACTCTTTGTCGTGCAGGTACGGGTTCTGATTGGCGTTGAACACCAGCTGCAGATTGGTGCCCGAGGCCACAAAGCTGGCCTCCGTGTGTCCCTCCCGACAGCCGTTCATAAAGCGCACCTGCCGCTCCTCGATGCTGCGCTCCCGGTAGCCTGTGTAGCGCACCTCACTTTCCCTGCTGAGCCGCCGGAAGAGCTCATCGCTCTCGAACTTGGATTTCTGGTCGGGCACTACGCGCGGCATCTTGAAGATAAAGCGTGGCTTGGGCTGCTCGTACAATCCGATGGTGTCGTAGGGTATCATGTTGGCTAGAGCCGCCTCGTTCATCATTTTATCGGTCAGGCGCGGTTCTGTCTCAGAACGCTGAATGGGGTCTGATTTTCGTGGGTCCCTCGTCGGACCTCAGGGTATACGCAATTCTTCTTGGAACCCAATGCGCTAAAAGGGGTATCTTTCGTTCGCTCCTAAGACGTTTCTTTTACGTATACGCAATATAATTTTCTCTCGCAGCTCAATGAATGCTAATTGCTTTAATATCTAACTTCTTGCACAGAAAACAACGCACAATACAACAAAAAGGATGGTTTGCGGTTTTGATATACCAACTGACGCGGCGTTGCCACTGGGAAAAGTGGAGTCGAAATTTAGAGATGGACGCGTGAATAATTTTCCCGGCACAACACGAGAACGGACGATCTTAATAATAATTATTCCATAAACTTTTTAAATCGAAATAATTTAAGTGACTTACCCACAGGTTATCTCTTTGTAACTATGTTTTATTTTATATAATGTTATTTGGCATAAAGAAAATTAATTATTAAATCATCATACACACGCGCACTCTTAGAAAAAACCAACATCCACTTTTTGACGGTCTGGCAGCATTGCAGAAGTGCTGACGCTTATTGTCTTATTGAGTAGGCACTTTTTGAATTCTCCGTTAAAAACGTGGCTTAAATTATTTGGGGCGACTTCCCTGCACTTAATAACCAGCCTTTACTTTTCTTTTTGCGATAATTTCCGAAAAACGAACTTAAGCGGCAAGAGCAACTTTCGCGCGCGACTCACTGTAACCGCTACACAATAATACTAAATGATTCTGCTCATCTTGCGGTATTATTTAAGAAGTCAAACTACGGTTACTCTGGCAACGTGTTTACAAAATATTGGATTTTTACTACACCGAAACAACAGGTGCTATAAACCGTGATCCCTGATCGATATGAGTGATATTCCCGCGGACGAGAACGAGAAGCGCCCTCAGTTTGGAACCCGTCTCCTAACGGACACAGACGACGTCTTCAAGCACAATGCTTGGTAAATATGGGATGCAAAGCTTTCGGAGATTGGCCAGCAAAACTTGGGAGCACACTCGTCTGCGCAAAAAACCGTCAGGAGCGGGAAGCCGGGTGCTCACCGATGCGCAAGAGGTGTTCGAGTTTAACGCCTGGTACTTATCCGAAGTACTCTATCTGACGAAAACCCTTTAAATTTTCGTTCCGCAGGGACCACGTGCAATGGGATGAGGAGCAGGAACTAGCTGCCCAGGCAGCGGTTGCCAAAAACTCATCTAGTAAAATGGATGCAGAGCAGAAAGACCGCTTCCAATCGGACGCCCCAAAGTTCTGGGACTCCTTTTACGGCATCCACGATAATCGATTCTTCAAGGATAGACACTGGTTATTTACAGAGTTTCCGGAACTGAATCTTTCGACGACGGATACGACGGAGCAACAGTCTCGCAGTATCTTTGAACTGGGCTGCGGCGTTGGGAACACAATTCTTCCTCTTTTGCAGTACAGTTCAGACCCGAAACTAAAGATATTTGGTTGTGACTTCTCTGCTCGTGCTATTGAAATCCTGCGAAGTCAACCTGAACTCGATGAGAAGCGCTGCGAGGTGTTTGTGATGGATGCCACGTTGGATAAGTGGCAGACACCCTTTGAGGAGAGCTCGCAGGACATCATCGTGATGATCTTCGTTCTGTCCGCCATTGAGCCAAAGAAAATGCAGCGGGTCCTGGACAACTGCTATCGCTTCCTAAAGCCAGGGGGCTTGCTTTTATTCCGCGATTACGGAAGATACGACCTGGCACAGTTGCGATTTAAGAGCGGAAAGTGTTTGGAGGACAACTTTTATGTGCGTGGCGATGGTACCATGGTGTATTTTTTCACAGAGGAGGAACTGCGATCTATGATGACTCAGGCTGGGCTAAAGGAAGAACAGCTCATTGTGGACCGAAGGCTGCAAGTCAACCGCAGTCGGGGCTTAAAAATGTACCGCGTTTGGATCCAGGCAAAGTTCAGGAAGCCTCTTTAGAGCATTTAGGTCTAGTTTAACTTAAATATAATTGAGCATTTTTATTATAAATAATAAAGTTAACAATCTAAAAATGGTTAAAAGCATTTAGAGAAATAATTAAAACAAATAAAGACGTCTTTGAATATTAAATTCAAACTTCAAGATGTCCTAAAATGAGCCTTGATTGCTTTCAAATTTCCCACCTCCTTGCCAATCGCTTTTTGGAAATCGCTAAGGAAAAGCTTCTCGCTGGAATATTATTCGCTGCCGTCCATTCAGGCAGCTTTTTCCCCAAATACACATAACAGTTAGGAAAGCTGCAAGTTTTCGCAGTTGGCCAAAAACGTCGTAAGTGAAAATTTTTCTTTTGCTGCGTAAAATAATCCGAAGAATATTATTTAAGCCTAGTTTATAAAAAACTAAAGCTGCTCGAGCATAGTCAAAGTGTAAAACAAACAGTAACAGTATAAAAGAGTAGAAAAATTAAGCTGAAATGTGAGCGATACACAATTAAAATTATTATCGTGCAAAATTTCATTGATTTTTCTTCTCAGCCTGAGCCTGAGTTGGCCACTTGAACTTATTTTTAAACGTTTTGCTCTTTAAGGAAAGTTTTAAAAGTGCCCCTGGAGGTATGCAACAGAAATAAAGAAGAACATGTCAAATAGGAGGTCAGGAGGTGGGCGTTTTGCTGCCCTCTAAATAGCACTTCTAGGCACTTCTAGATAGAAACATACTAATACCAGAAATGTTAACTGATGTACTAAAAATAGTTTCAACTATTTTCACACTTTACCCGACAGCATTTTCAGCGCTGTGCCAGAGAATTCCTGCGAAAGGCTGTCGTGGCAAGTGTTACCCGCACACATACACATCATCCAAAACCAAAACCAGATCCAGATCCAGCCAATCCCCCCGTGAAGCGGAGTGAAAATTCATTGACGACGACTGGGGGCGAAAAAGCTCTGGCGGACGAGCGAAAGAGAAAGAGAGGCGGCACCGAGAGCGCAACCCTCTGAGAACAAAAACAACGAAACAGAGTTCAGCTGCACTAAGAACACCACCACCACCCACCACCCACACCACCACGACCGCCCACTGACCGACCACCATTACCCCGACCTGCGGCAGTGAAAGACGGCGAAAGAGGCCAAGTGCATAGTGCCACAGAGTACCTTCATCATAATCATCGCCAGCCGAATTTGTTGAGGCCACCAGAGCACCACCAAACTACACAGAACCACCAGAGAAATGTAAGTGGATATCGGACATTATTGATTTGTTTTCCGGCGAAAGGAATGGTGTTCCCCTTTTGGGTTTTTTACGCACAGAGGGAATGCTCATTTGATAGCCGCATTAAGTATACGCAGCATGGGTCCGCCATTTCGTTTGTCATTTGTCCAATTGAACAGGGGCCGTAAAAATGTGGCACCTACAGCAGCTGCAGCTGCCATTTCGGTTCACTAAGCATGATTCACTTGGCGATGACGTTGCCGCATCACATGGCCAAGTCTCTCACACCGCAAAATCAATAAAAACACGTTCCGCCCCACTGAGTCAGGACATGCAAACTAAGTTGCACCTATTTGGGTGTCTTTAAGAGTTTTTAAATTTGAGCGACTCATTAACGAAACATACTGCTATACTAACTAAGCCCTACTTTTTTCTTACAAATTTAAATCACAAAACACAGTAAATTGACAATTCTAAAAATAATCGCGAATATAAGTTATTCAAAGCTTGCCGGTCTTCAGGGTCGGTGTTGGATTTTGAATTGTTTTCCCTATGTAGGTGACAAACAAAAATGAAAGACAATATTTAACAAAACAAAAAACTGATTCGCTTCGATAAAGTAGATATTTATTATTATTTATTGAACTCATGAATTCATTCATAAATTTTTCTTATTGGTTAAGAAAAGCCGGTGTTTTGGGTTTAAGATAAAGATATTTATGAATCCTAAAATATACTGGTTATTTCCATTCCGAAATTGTGTTATGATTTAATATTGTTATTAAATATTTTCCTACTTCAAACCCCCGCAGAGTCCAGAAGCCGAGATAAAGGTCTAAGTTTTTGGGGGTCTAAGATGGGCAAGAAAGACAAGAACAAGGAAGCGTAAGTGCGTTCTTAAGTCAAAGGGTAGCTGGCTAGAACTATACTCCAGCACAATCTATAGCACACACGTATCTTCGATAAAGCTAGAATCTAAAGTCGTACCCCAAGATCCCACCCACAACCCACTTTTTCGTAATCTAAGTACTGTATTTAATTTGAGCGCCCCCGTTGGGAGTTGATTAGCCTTTGTCTGTTCTACTTTTGTGCGCTTTCGATGACTAATGACGAGGTCTCTTCCCGCAGGGCGGACGCTGCACCAGCTGGAGATGCACCACCAACTGCCGGCCCTCCGGCCGGAGAGGGCGGCGATGGCGAGATTGTGGGCGGACCACACAACCCGCAGCAGATTGCGGCACAAAAACGTCTGCAGCAAACTCAGGCGCAGGTCGATGAGGTGAGTTTCGAGATTGACAGTAATATTTTGGTTTTTTAAATGTTAACTTGCAATTTAAAAAAGGTTGATTTAATAACTTTAAAATGCACAGAGAAAAAATGTATTTTAAGCGTACTATAAAACAATTTTCTATGAAATCAATTACATATTTACAATGGGGAAACTGCAAGTGCATCTAGCAGAGCCTTTACTCCTTTCTAGTTTGAAAATGAACTTTAAAAGTGCACTTTAAATATTAATACATTTCTATTTGGTGTACTCCATACATTATATATAATATTCAAATTTTCTGACAGGTCGTAGACATCATGCGCACGAATGTGGAAAAGGTGCTGGAGCGTGACAGCAAGCTGTCGGAGCTGGACGATCGTGCAGATGCCTTGCAGCAGGGCGCCTCGCAGTTTGAGCAGCAGGCGGGCAAGTTAAAGAGGAAATTCTGGCTCCAGAACTTAAAGGTCCTTCCGATGAGTCTTTTCTTAAACTCACCAAACTCACATATCCTTTCTTTTCCAACAGATGATGATCATCATGGGCGTGATTGGCCTGGTTGTCGTGGGCATTATCGCAAGTAAGTTGATGGATCCTAGCTGGGCATCGTACACTCATTTCCTGGACACACACCCCCTAGAGATACTGACCTCCACACCTACTCGTCTCATCCACACACAGAACCGAAGAAACTTTCAAGATCCCCCGATTGTGTTTGTCTTTTAAGTTCGCCTTGGTTTTGCGCTAATTTCGTTGGCCCAAAAACGATTTCGTTTCTTTACACACCGAATCAAATTCCTTTTTTAATTCCGACACTTTTTTTCTCTAGGTAACTTTATGTAGATTGCTAACTACCTAATCCATAAGAAACTAGTAACTTAGCCGCAATGCAATGCTAATCAAAACCAAATCAAAAGTCAATCAATCAATCAACCCAATAAGAACCAATCGAAACCAAATTCAGACTCATTACAACTGCTATATGAGTAGAGCACCGAACTCACAGTCCAACTGATCGTTCGCTCAACCGATTCGACTTAGATGCCTTGCGAAATTTCCAAAACTATATAGAGACCGATCGGTCGCAATATCATGTCATGCGCTTCAACCACCACTAGAAAACTAACTAAAAGCGGTATATATATTTGTATTGTACCATGTATGCCCAAGCCCAACATCATCTGGTTCCATACGAGCATACGCACAGGTTCGGTAATGATTTGATTTGATGCCCACTGAAAGTCGTGTCGTGTGTTGTTATCGTTCCGTTGCCTAACCCGTAATAGAGTTGTCACCGCTCCGGATATCGGATCCGTTGCCATGTGGGTTGCGGTTTAGAGCCCGCCAAGTGCAACGATCTAAATTGGAAACTGAGATGGAGATGGATCGGTATCCGTTTGTACCCGTTAGCCTAAAAAAAAGTAGGACCTTAAGTTCTAGCTAGCGTAAATCCCGTAAAACGTAATCGTAAAGTTTGTGGTTTGTTCAGTGTTTCATTATCCGTATCCGTATCCGTTTTTTGTTTGTTTCGTTCTGATATTGGCAGCAGCACCACAACCACAGACACACGATTGTGCCATGTCCTGTGTAAAATAATTGACTCGAACCTAGTTCCCAGTAACCGTAGTCCCTTCTCAATACTCGTTACTTGATACCAATTCTCAAATCAAACGCAACGGCCTTTAGAGCGATGAAAATATTGCCTTACTCGTACCACTGAACCACAGCAAAAGCATAAAGTACTGCCATTCTATTTGATTTAACTATTTTCTTTAAGAGTTTTCACCTTGATTTGACACACTCTGTACACTGAACTTAATTTTTGAACAATTACAGAGAAAGACGAAGAATAAATACACAGAAAGCTTTAGCTTTGTACCATTTTGTTAACCATAAGCAAAACAATTTATCCCCAAATAACACTTTTTGTGTGAGGTAAAAGCAAAAGAGAGCAAACTTTTATTTATAACTCATACGCCACGTTTACTGCTAGGTGCACCCGTTGAAGAAATCTTTTGTTAGACATAACTCAAAATCGTGTTTAAGTTGGTTTGTTGTTTTATGTTCTTTAATTTTAATTATCTGCTCACTTTGAAGCAAAATCATACGAAATTGAACAAAAACATAAACTCACCGAACAATTTCTCGTAGAACCGTACATGTCGGATGATAATGCTGCTCCGCAGCCTCCTGCCTTGCAGCAGCAGGTGGCTCCGGGATCGGCAACTGCACCAGAATCAGCACCACCACCACCACCACAACAACAACAACTACTACAACAACAACAACTACAGCCACACCATCATACACAAAAATCTGAACCACCGACACTCGAGAAACCATTGGCCGAGAAATTGACCGACCTACCACAAAGTCCGTCGGATGAAGTGGCGACTGGACAATAAGTCAAAAGCTCACGATTGTAATTCTCGAAAAAAATTAACAACCAACCGAACAGCAACAACAACAGAAACCAATCAGCCACCGATTAATCACCAAGCTGCATTCGTAGAACCATAACCAAAACCAATCAAAAATGAAAAGAAAACATTTCACACTTTCTTTGTTCCATTGACAAATACGATCAAATCCGATACACTGTAAGCAAAAAAAGCAAAAGAAAGCGGCAACCAATCAATGCAAATAATCATACCCAGTAATTTGACACCTGCGCTTCTTCTTACTTCCGTTTCCGTTTGCGTTGTTGTTTCTGTTTTTGCTGTCCCCTGGTTTTTATTGATTTAAAGTTGGTTGCAAACGATGCAGAAGCTCAAAAGCGTTTCCAACCAACTTCAGTCGCATGAATGTGAGTTAATCGATGTCTTTGTGTGATAAATATTATATTATTTATAATTCTATTATTTACCAATTTAATGTTGTATGTGTTTTGAAATTGGCCTAAGTTTAATGCACCAAAAAAGCGAAAGGACTTCTCTTCGGGAGGTTTAAGGAAAGACAGCTTTTTGACTGCCTAAGTGTACATAAATATTTATATATATTTGTTTGATGCAGTTTGCCCAGCCCCACCCTCCCATTCTCCACGTCCCATTGTCCATTTGCTATATTCCGTGATGAGTGAGCTTTTAAACATTGAAGTGTAATATTTTTTGGCGTATAATCGTGTATCGATGTCTGAGATTGGCTAAACAGAGCTAAAGATAGGACTTATGCTATACCCTACTAACTCTTGTCGTGTTTTTCCCAAAAACCAAACAGATAAACTTGGCCTCATAGGCGGGGAGCAGCCGCCACAGTACCAGTATCCCCCACAATACATGCAGCCACCGCCGCCGCCTCCGCAACAGCCTGCCGGAGGACAGTCGTCGCTGGTGGATGGGGCAGGAGCAGGAGGATCAGCTGGCGGGGAGGCAGGAGCCGGCGACCACGGTGGCGTATAAGCAATCTCGCTGCAAGGACGAACGTTTCTCGATTACATCGGCCCCTTCGCAAAAGGGGGGCGAAACGCAAACCAAAATAAAAATACAGAAAGGAAAACTCAGTTAAACTAGAAAATCTCGAGAATTGCAATGAAACTCAATAATAATTTCCACTTAGACGATGTGCACGAGTTGGTGTGAAGAGGTTTTAAGTAACTTACGTCATAATATTAATACTAAATCTAAAGAAGACGCTCCGAACAAATTAAAGTTGTTGCTAATTTGTTTATGGTTACATTATTTCATGCATAAAACGGTAATATATATATATATATATATAAATATAAATACAAATATATGGGACTTGAATATTACGAGTGACTCTAAACCGCGTACTACCCTATACGGAACTTGGATCTCTGCGCTGCACTGGCAACAAGGAGCGCCAGTGGAAGCAGGAGGACAGGCGGTCGCTTCCCGATGTTCGCAGCTCTTTGAACTCAGTTTCCTTAGCAAATCAACTAGACAAAAAACTAACAAAAAAGAAAGAATACATAACTATTTCGGAACAAGACCCAAAAACCAAAGAAATCTAAGCTTTGTTCCTAAGTAAAGTTACGCAAATATGAATATTCGAAATGTATAATCCAAAAAAGAAGTTTGAAATCGACAGGCCGCATAAGTAATTGACAGTTAAATGTATTCATGGAACTTTATTTATATAAAGTGTAGTCGGCTTAAAATACAAACAAGAAAGCAGAAACAAAACACAAAGAAACTTGAAGTCTAGTGAAAATATACAAGCGATTTATTTGCAGAGTTATGTTTATGTGCAATCATTACTGTTGTGTTTAAAAAACAGCCGAGACAGCAATTGAGTGTAGCTCGAAAGGTTCGATTAAAAGATGAAACCAGACAGTTCAACGATTAAATTAAGCGCTAGACACACAACACGTTGTTTATCCAAAGGATTTATTAATCTCGACGCAGGCAGCTGAGGCACTTAACATATGTTTGTATATTTCAATGTTACGAGTAATAGACGAGGCGGAACTTAGAGCATATATATGTACGTGTATGTAACGATATGATATTTAGATCTCACACACTCCACCCGAAACCCATATCCCCATCATTGTCGATCGCCAATCAGGATCAGAGAAATAACTTTGAGACAACACTCGAAGCACATATTGTACTTAACTTGTTTTGAAAATACAACCTATACTACGTCTAATGTATTAACTAATTGATTCTACAAGCGCCTGCCCAAAGTGCTTTGCCTACCATCAAATTGGGGCACGAACAAAATCGAAATTAACTAAAGAAAACCAAAGATTAAATGGAGAAATCGAAAATTTAAATCCGAATGCAGGTATTTTTAGCAATATTCGTAGCGTGTACAATATGTCGCCCTTAAAGCTTATTAGAATCTCGTTCAATTTCCATCTCGATCTCACCCAGACACTTCACATGCATATAACCATAAACAGATATAAATCAATATATGTATGTAATAACCAATGACAAATGTTTACAAAATCGTTTCGATTTTTGTTTGGATTTTAACCTAAATAAGAACAAATGTATACACAAGAACACCTTCGAAATCCCCAGAAATCGGATAGCCCAAAGGGATTCTTGGAATTGCACTGCGATATTCTGGAACGTTTTGGGCGGCGGAGCAAGAAAACCCGTATGAGAGGCGGACACCTAAAACAAAGGAAAACTCTATAGGAATCCAAAATACAGCAGACGGCGAATGAGAGTATATATATATGAACCGTATATAAACAATAATATTACTAATTAATTTAATGATTAATTGCACCCCGAAAATACATAATTATTTAAATAAATTACTAAAAACAAAACTTGAAATGGCTTTTTCTAAAAAAAAAGGGAACAGGTTGTTATGAAAACTGCCATCTATTGCATTCTGTTGGCCTGGTATTTGAAATCTAGGAGTTCCGAAGAGTTTCGTAGAAATCGGCCAGCCAAACCCACAATTTTTGGCCAAACGCTTTTTGAAGTACCAGGCGAACATAATGCAATAGAAGGTGTCTCTCAGCAACGGCTAATTTTGTATGAGCCCCCAAAAGTAAGCTTTCGATAGTTGATTCGCCAGAATTAAGCCCATAACGTTTCTAATTTTAATCAGATTTTGAAGTGGTATACCTCTTAAAGTTTGTACTTAAATTTCCCCAACGAACTGCATCATTGGAAATTTGTTTTTTATTTTTTGGCCGATTTTTGCTTTAAAATCCATTTCATAAAAAGTTTAGCATACTATTCAGCGCTCTCCTCCGAATTGCGGAACTCCGGAAAAGGGATACGGTCCGCATCCCGAACACACGTGGGTGCATACATAAATAACAATTCTGATGGAGACAGCGAGCAAACAGGATAATAGAAATAAAAACGCGTCTGGGTGGGAAGTCAGATCTAAATCAGCAAGTGTGGGAAACAAGGGGACGTCTGTTTACCACGCTTGCCACACCTGATTAAAATCTATTGACAATGCCGGCGGCTGGGAAATTGGAGCAGCGCTAGCAAGGGCCCACTTAGGAAACGGAAACACCTTCCTCAGTGCAGCAGGACCCCAGGATCCAGCACTTAATGAAACCCAATTACCAGAGGTGTCCGCCAGCCAAATCCTGAAGGCGGAAGGCAAACAATAACAGCTGCAAAAAGCCCAGCTGGTGCCGCAACACCTGCAAATTTTATTTGCATTTTTCCTGACATACCGCTTAAATATTGGCCAGAGGTATATGGGTTGGCAAGTAAGAAGGTACTGCTATGTTCATAAAAATGCACTTTAAAAAATTCCTACAAAAGTGTTTAAGATAAGGTTATCCGTTTTACAAATTAAAATAAAATCATTAAGAGTTTAAAGAGTTTCGAATAATTAATAAATGAATAATGAATGGTAATACAGAATAAATAAGAATATGATGGAATGGTTAATATGGACAAAAAAGGCAAATTAAGTGATATTTTTCTAAATCAATCCCAAATTTGTATACAATATTTTGTTTTAATCCTAGTCCGTTGACCTAGGAATTTGTATGTCGCTACACGCATTCAAGTGAAAATTTACTTGTTTATTATTATTAACTTCGTCGCAATTTTCCGGCAAGGACATGCGCAAACACCCACACCATTGCTCACAACACTCTGCCGCCATCCCCTTCTGCGGTACCAACGACCATGGAAAAGGGACACGGACATGGACAGGGACAGGAACAGGGATACGGAGGCGGTGGCGGACACATCTCCGAGTGGAGCAGAGCGGGGTATAAATACGGCGCAGCTTTTGCGCACAGCCTCAGTTGGCGGACTGTGTTGCTCGCGATTCCCTTTTCCCAGTCGCAGCGTTCGCGAGGTGAGAGTTCAAACGGGAAACGGCCAACTGTTGCAAGTTGCACCTTGCGGTCTGCAGGGAGCAGGCAGCAGGATAACGGCACCCATTATTGGCTTAAGTGCAGCAAATTGTGGGTGTTAAATTGATTTATTGGTTGGCAAACGCAAATTATTGAAAGAAGTGAAGAGCGATTTTTAATCTGGGCATTGCTACTAACGTGTTATATGCAAAGCTGACTTGATTTTCATGCCGATTAATGGGCCACAGCACTAAAAAGTAAGTAAAGTTAATTTAGTTTCTGATCCAGTTAGAAAATATGTTGGTATGCATATTGAAAAAGGTTGTGCTTAATTAAATGTAATACAATTTTGCAATTCTAGGTTAAGATATTTGTTAATATAAGATTTATGATTTTTAAAGAGTAAAACAAGTATTTGTGTAGTTACTTATTTTTTGATATTGTCAGTTTCAGTAACTTATTTTTGTTAGGTTCTAAGAAAAAAACGTTTTTTAATACGGATTTTTCTATAGAGATTAACGATTCTCCAACACCAGAGTATAAATTAGAAAAAATTATTTTGTATCTGTAAACATATTACCTTTTTGACAAAATAAAAAATTTAAAATATCCTTTTTAAAACTTACCCCTCGTCACTTTTTAACACTGCCTCCGCTCAAAGTGTAGTGTGATAAGCCCTAATGGGCTATGCAGAAGAGGTGAGCGTGCAGGGTGCAAAAAACTGGTTGCCAGCCGATGTTTCTGTTGGGTCAATCATATGGTGAAAATAGTGGTTACAAATCAACCCCTAACGTCGCAGCTTTACCAAGGGTTGTATTCCGAACCCGAATCGGCAGCACACACAGTTCAAGTCCAGTCACTCTGCAAACTTTGGAGCGTTCGGTTGTCAAGTTTCGGTCGCCTGCGTGTTCTCTCTTTTCCGATTTCAGCACTCTTCCCGCACACACACACACTTCAGGCGCACACACACAGGCAGAAGATAGAGGGTGGAGCGGAGAAAGGCGGAGACTTTCGCTCGAATTTCTTGCATTGTTATTGTTGCTGCGCCGTGTATATAATAGTGTACATATACTTTACACCCACTGTGTGTGACTCCCATTGTGCGTGTGTGTGTTTTTCCTGGAAGTTCGAATTCTCTTTTTTCGTCTGCGGCACACACGATAAATTAAACCAAACCAATAAAAAAAAAGAAGGGAGAAAATTAGTATCAGAATAAGTGCTGGAATCGAAATCACTAGCTAATCACCATGGCCGACAACAACTGCCCGAAGTGCAAAAAATCGATCGCCGCCAAGGAAGCAGCCACCACGATTATCGGATGCAGTGGCGAGGACTGTCGGCGGAGGTTCCACCGGACGTGCGTCAACATCGATGATGCGGTGTACGAGGCGATCCAGAAGAACCCGATGATATCCTTCCACTGCGACGAGTGCAGGAACCAGTCGCCGCGTGCCTTCGCGGCCAAGCTGCAGACCATCGAGGAGAAAATCAACAAGGTGGGCAACGGGATCAACCAGATCCAGGGCCGGATGTACCAGCAGTACTTCCAGTTCGGCAACCAGCCGCTTCAGGCGCTAGGCGCCCAGGCAGCGGCCGTGGGTGCAACCGCTGGCCTTCCCAGCGGACTGGAAGGCAAGAAGCATCCGCAGCAGAACAACCTCATCGTGGTGGGGAACAACTGCAATTCGGATCGATTGCAGGTGGTCTGCGACTACGGCCGTTGGGTGCAGGTGGGCAAGTTTGCCACCAACACCAGCGAGGAGGATGTGATCGATCATCTGGCCGAGGAGCTGAAGATCAACAAAAACCTCGTCAAGTGCACTAAGCTGGTGAAGAATGATGCCAACCTGTCGCAGTTGTCGTACTGCAAGTTCAAGATCTCCATACCGGACTACCGCTTCAACGAGCTCTTCAACGAGGCCATCTGGCCCAGCGGCGTGATGGTCAGCCCGTTCACACCGCGGTCCCAGCTCAATCAGAATCGCCTCTAGAGAGACGGGCCCGGAGGCCGGGAGAGCGGGGACCGGGCGAGGGTGAAGCAGTAAGCAGCGGGAGAAGGAGGAGGAGATGGTGAAGAGCGGGGAGCAGAAGCAGCAGCTGCAGAGGAAGTACTAAAGGAGGCAATGCGCCTGCGCAGGGAGAGGACGAACGACCGAAGGAGGAGGAACTGCATCGCGGACTGGCAGCCAGGGGTTGCTATCCGGCCAGCGATTAGCATTGCAACAACACCGCGGACTCCCCCGCTTCGGCGTCTCTCCTTCGGGCCGATGGAGCTGCAGGCGGAAGAGCAACTATTGGCCCCCTATTTGTATGCTAATTTTCGACACTCGAAAACATTGTCTAGATTTTCAAAAGCTTACAGAACCTATCTAATGGAAAACCAACAAGCATATTTATTGAATTAACTTTGAAAATGCATTTTAAAATGTTTTAGCGTTGCGTAAATAACAAAAAATGAAATCGATAAAGAAACCAAAAGTATTTTAATGGCAAAACTCACAAATAAAATAGATGTGAAGCAAAAAATATTAGTCATTTATGCATAACTGTCGTACTTAAAATAAAGTAAACCCGAAAACAAAGCGAGAAAACTAAGAAAACCAAACTCTTAATGTAAAAGCCCCACACCGAAAACGATTATTCAGGCGCGTATTTAAACCATTTACATTTACTAACTAGGCACCGAGATTCCCTTTTGATTTTCCAAAAACTTACTTCCGGGACCTTGAAAAATTCGAACCCAGATCATTATATTTTTTCCACAAATCGATAAAAGTTGTATTGCGACGCGTGTGCGATACCTACCACATTAAGTACTTACCGTAACCAATATCAAACGTATATTCAAGCAGACGACGGCTTATATTTATATTGTATTCGTATATGTATGTAGTTTGAGGCATTTTCAAAGCTTGTTCCTGTTCCCAAAGACGTTTGGACATTTTGCGAACCACTGCACAGGACACTGGCCAGCAGCTAGACCCATTCAAATTCAGATTGAAAGTATGTGTATTTGCGTTTTCGACGAGGGACACCCGTTGGGAGACCCGATGGCAGTTACCACATCACGTTCCACGAGGACAGGACTCGAAACGAAACGAAGCTGGGCAAATCCGTTGCAATAATAACTCACTGACCGAGTATAATGGATGTACATTTCGTAATTGATCTATTTTTTTACACCAATCCGACAGCAATATTTTCCGTGGGCTCCACGCCAGCGATCCGAACAGAACCGTAGATATTTACGCAAGAGTCAGCAAACGAAATGTAAAACACATATATTATATATTTAGTATACAACAATATGCATGCATGTATTTATGTCAACTTTTTCAATAAATTCTACAAAAAAAAAAAAAAAAATAAATTACCATAGAAGAACGGATAAATCCTTGGGTTTCTGGGATAGAAAAAGCTAATCTAAAAAATCGTCGTTTGCATAAAATATACTTATCAAGAGTAGGCTGCTGCTCGCTTAAACTTTTTTCAGGACTAGCACAATGGCCAACTCCAAGCGAAAGCTACCAACGAAACCCAGTTCCAATGAGGATTCTAACCAGGAAAAAAGTCTTCCCAGCACAAAAGAATCTACAAACGAGGTACACTCTACCAATGCCAAAGAAACCTCTCCCCTGAATCGTTTTTTTAGAGATTGTCTGGGTCATGAACTGAGCAACTTCTCCAGTTTGTCCCACTTTACAAGCTGGCTAGAAAGACCCGTGGATGGGGCCGCCTTGGGCATCTTCCGGTTGCTGTACGGAGCAGCCATGCTGATAGACATCGCAGAGGAGCGTGGCGGTGGGCAGCTGGACCTCCGGTTTGGAGAACCGCTCCACTGCCATTTTCCGCTTTTCAACGGATTACGGGCATTGGCTTATCCGCTGATGGGCTGCGTCTATTTGTGCATGTGGCTGGGGGCATGGGGCATCATGCTGGGCTTCCGATTCAGGACCAGCTGCCTCGCCTTCCTGGTGCCCTACTGGTACATCTTCCTGCTGGACAAGCCGACGTGGAACAACCACAGCTACCTATTTGGTTTGGTTGGGTTATTGCTGCTCTTCACCCAGGCGGATTCATACTGGTTTGCATGCCTCATTCCTAAATATCATTCATAAATCGACTTTATTGAACTTCTAATAACTTTCAGTTCCCTGGACCGATGGTTGAACCCCCGGAGGAGTCGGTGTATTCCCTACTGGAACTACTTTGTTATCAAATTTCAGTTTTTCATTCTATACATGTACGCTGGCCTGAAGAAGTTCTCCCTTGAGTGGCTTTCGGGTTATGCGATGTCCAATCTCAGCCATCACTGGGTTTTCACTCCCTTCCGCCAAGTGATCGATCCCGAGATGATCGACCTACTGATTGTGCACTGGTTCACCGCTTTCTTTGACCTGTCCATCGCCTTTTTCATGACCATGGACAAGACGCGTCTATTGGTCACGCCATTCATGATCAGCTTCCACCTAATGAACTCCCGGCTTTTTGTAATAGGTATGTGAACAGCCTTTATAATTTCATCTCATAATATTTTGTTTAAATGTAACTTCAGTTAAAGAAAAAATTTAATTACTTCCATTACTAATTTGTATTTCTTTTACGGCAATATAAAAATCGATACCTATATTATTGACATTTATAAAACCGCAGTAAAAAATCAATATCCAATTTGAACTTACCCAACAGGCATGTTTCCCTGGGTTTGTTTGGCGGAGGTGCCACTATTCTTCAGCTTCGATTGGCCCAGGAGGATAAGCAGGTGGTCAAAGGCTCCCCTTCTCCCAGCTTCTCAAGCAACTAAGGATGTATCCAAGCCGGGACTCCTCACAAGACTGCGCACCATCCTCATCTTGGGCTACTGCGGACTGCAGCTCTTTCTGCCTTACTCCCATTTTATCACCAAGGGCTACAACAATTGGACGAATGGACTCTACGGCTACTCCTGGGACATGATGGTGCATTCGTACGATACGCTGCAGACCTCCATTCAGGTGGTGGACAATGAGAGTCGCCAGGTGCACAATCTGCACCCCTACGCCTTCACGGAGTACGATCGCTGGACGAAGTACGCCGACATGGCAGTTCAGTACGCGAGTTGCATCGAGGAGAATCTCCGGGCGAGCCAACCCGAAGTGGCCAAGAACATCTCAATCTACTTCGACATCTGGTGCTCCATGAACGGTCGGTTTCAGCAGCGCTCCTTCGATCCGCGAGTGGATCTCCTCCGGGCCAAGTGGTCGCCCTTCGAGAGCACCTCCTGGTCTCTGCCGCTGCTGAACGAGCTCAATTATATGCGACCCAAGCTGCGGACCATCGAGACCGAGGTGCTGGCCTGGAACAACTACTCCGATGTAGTCTTCGTGGCCGACTTTCCTGGACTCACGCTGACCAACTTTATCTCGCCGGATCTTATCAACTGCACGCTGACCATTCTTGAGGGAAACGTGCGGTACAGAAACGAACGCGATCCGGAGGCCTACTTTTTGACCGCCGGCAAGAGCATCGGTCTGGAGAACAACATCACACACTTGGTGACCACCATTGGCCAGAAGCCAGCCTCCTATCTATTTACCTACACCAACAAGACGATGTTGGAACAAGACGAGGGTGGCATCACGACAGACAAACCGGAACGGGAGGCGCGCTCCATCCTGCCGCTGTGGCAGGAATTCCAGCATCGGGTGACCAACTATCAACAGTTTCTGGCCCACATTGGCAACTGTCTGCTGTACTTGATTTACGATGTGCCCATTCCGCTGGCAGTTCGGGACAGGGATTGAGATTGACTAAGAGTGTAGGCTATCGGAACTGTTTCGGTTTTCACTTGGTCTTTATTCTTATAAAGTTGTAGTATTTTGTTTAATCTTAAAAGGGAAGTAAAAACTAAATACATCAGCCAACACTTTCTGTAAAAAACACTAATTTCATTCCATGTTATATTTTCCCGATTAATAGTTGTATACAAGAAAAATTGCATTTACGAATAGAACATAAACCTTAAAGAGTTGTGACAGAATTCTTTTATACTTGTAATAACTGATAGGAGTTCTGGAAAACTGAAAAAATGATATGATAATGATGAAAGCCGAAACAGTCCGTTAAAACAGAATGTATGGGTGATAAAACTGATAATAAATGTTCCATATTGTACCGCATCCCGTCCTTATCGCTTATCTACAACTGTATTTACAAACGTCACAATGATACTTTAAACCTAAAAATATCGAATCTTCCCGTCGGAAGGATTCTACTGTGAATTTAGAGGGGGAGGGAGGGCCAAACGAAGAGGAGGGTAATAACATCGGAACAGGTAAACACATACACAGGTAAGGAGCCTCGTCTACGCCACACCACGTGACGCCTTCGCTGTCGCCTCCTCCTTGGAGTCTCGACTCGGGTCGAACTGGTGCGTCTGCGTCTCCCAGAGGCGGGCATAAAGTCCATTCTTCCTTAACAGCTCCGAGTGGGTTCCCTGCTCACCAACACGACCGTTCTCCAGCACCAGGATCTCGTCGGCATCCTTAACCGTGGAGAGGCGGTGGGCAATGCAAATGCTGGTGCGTCCAGAGGTAGCTCGCGTTAGGGCCTGCAGAATGTTCTGCAAATTGGAGATTACCAAAATTAGTCAGTTTTAAGATACGTTTATAGCACCCTTTACTCACATGCTCTGTGATGGAGTCCAGACTGCTGGTAGCCTCGTCGAAAATTAGAATAGGAGTGTTTTTAAGAATGGCTCTGGCAATGGCCACACGCTGCTTCTCGCCTCCGGATAGCTTTAATCCCCGCTCGCCCACCTGAGTGGAGTACTGACCTGGCCAGCTCATGATTGAATCATGCAGATCAGCCATGCGAGCAGCGTTCTCCACCTCCGCGTGCGACTTGGTCAGGTTACCGTAGTGGATATTGTGCTCGATAGTGTTGTGGAAGAGCACCGAGTCCTGCGGCACGACGGCAATAACCTTGCGCAGACTCTCTAAGTCCACGCCGCTTATATCCTGGCCGCCGATCAGCACTTTGCCGGAGTTCGGTTCAAAGAAGCGGAAGAGCAGGCGCACCATCGAGGATTTCCCCGAACCAGAGCCGCCCACAATGGCCACGTTCTTTCCTGCGGGTATGGTGAAGGACAGATCCTTGAAAATGGGCTTGCCCGGCTCATACTCGAAGCTTACGTTGCGGAACTCAATGGAGGAGTTGCTGGTGTCCACGAACAAGGGCTGGGCATTGCTGGCCGTCTGGATGCTACTGTCCACGTTCATCAGCGTGAACATGGCCTGCATGTCTAGCAGGGCTTGTCGCACCTCGCGGTACACACTGCCAAGAAAGCCGAGAGGAATCGACAGCTGAAAGAGCAGGGCGTTGACCATCACCAAATCGCCCACCGTCATGTTGCCCTGAGCGATCTCCTTGGCGGCCAGCACCATGATCAAACTTAGGGCGCTGCTGAAGATGGCGTTCTGCCCGAAATTGAGCAGAGCCAAACTGGAACTCGTCTTCAGGCTGGCCGCCTCGTACTTCTTCAGCACCTCGTTGTAGCAACCTGCCTCGTACTTTTCGTTGTTGAAGTACTTAACCGTCTCGTAGTTGATCAGCGAGTCCACGGCCTTGTTGCCAGCCTCGTTCTCCGCCTGGTTCATGTAGACGCGGAATTGTGTGCGCCACTGGGTCACACTCAAGGTGTAGACGGCGTAGATGCCCACACAGCCCATGCTGACACCGGCAAAGGCTAGCCCGCATTTTATTCCCAGGATGCTGGACACGAGAGCCAACTCGAAGATCGTTGGCACTATGTTGAACACCATGGCGGAGAGCACAAAGTTGATGCCCCTCGATCCCCTATCGATGGTTTTGGACAGGGCTCCCGTTTGCTTATTGAGATGGAAGGCCAAATCGAGGTTGTGCAGATGCAGGAACACATTGCTGGCAATCTTTCGGATCGAGTGGTGGGCCACCTTGGCGAACACTGCATTGCGAAGCTCGTTGAAGCCAGATGCACTTGCTCTGGCAATGCCATCTAAAGGGATAAGGTTTTTAAAACTTATACTGATACCAAGGAAGGAATTTACTTACATCCCAGCATCATGGCAGTGGCGGCGGAGAGCACGGCATCCGGGGCGGTGTCCATGTTCAATGTAGTCATAGTATCCACAGCTCCTTTGAACAGGAAAGGCACGCAGACGGTCAGCAGCTTGGAGCCAGCCAATAGACCCAGGGAAATGGCCACTCTGTTGATGCATGAATTCTCAAATTTAAGTACACCAAAGGCTGTTTTAGAAAATAAAAAGACTCACCGCTTTCGCACCACTGGATCCTCCTTTGGCCAAATGTAGGCCATCATGGCGCGCAGCATATCCTTGGAGGTGACCTCTGGTGCGTCCAGCTTGCCCAATCCCGGGCCACCATCGCTGCCGCCCCCTATATGAACATGACATTGTCGTGATTGCTGTTGTTGTGGGCGGTAAGGTCGCTGCCGCTGTAGCTTTGTTGTCTTTGCTGCTGCTGCTGTTGCTGGGGCTCCTCCACCTGCATTGAATTCACTTGGATGCAGCCAAATTCAGAGAGGCGCTCAACACAACAAGCGCACAAACGAACAAACAAACAAACAAACGGGCAATGACCGACTTGGGTTAAGGAAGTACTCGTTCCACAAAACAAAATCAATTTTGGGTTAGTCAATAGAAAAAAGCGTGAGTGGCTAGTACTTAATAAAAATAAGCCTGCGGATTTAGCAGGGGTGCTTTGGTAATTACAGCAGGTCCGACATCGGTTAGAGGACTCTTCCTGTGGCACTTACCTTTGGCCTTGTTTCCGAACACTCCACCCAGCAACTTGCTGCCCGGCGTGGGCGTAAACGGGGTTACCTTCTTACGCTTGACATCGTTCTTTCCCTGATCATCCACCTTGGCCAGCGAAGAGAACAGCTGAAAGGTCACAGTTTCAATAAAGTAATTACAAATAGACGGTTTAAGAATTCAGGGATTTATTACAAAAATAAACAAGGATATAAAAACTTTAAAGGTAAGAAAAAAACTTTACCTTTTTTAATAAAAATATGTATTAAATTGATTCTAAATCAAATGCTCAAGTGAACCTTTTTTTAATTAACTATTCCTAGAGTTTACAATAGAAATGCTTCGTACTGTTTGAAAATTAAACTTTAACTAAGTTTGCTTTCATTCTGCTGGATGTGCCACCTGAAAGTCACTCAGATAGCGAATGCATTCCAGAAGATAAGATCGGGTCACCGATCCACTTTCCGTAAGTTTAGGCAGTTTATCCAACTCTCTCACAAAAATCTCGTACTCATTTATTTTGTGGGCCACGAGGGAAAAAAGCTCTGGTTGAACATCCTCAAATTGTTCGGCGTCGCCAAAGGCAATCTGGTTGAGAATGTTGGGAAAGTAGGCCTGTTGTTTGAAAATCAGGTGCAGCACGACCCTTAAATTATGCGAACAGCCATCGCCGATGTGCACAAACATCTGATCGTTTAGATTGTGTTCCCTAATGAACTTGAAGATGTTCCGGTGGTACGTTTGCGTTGATAGCTCCTTGTTGTGCTTAATCATATGCTCAATGTCCAGCAGAGAGAACTCGAAGTAGTCGTGCTTATTTCCTTTTAGCCAAAAGCCGTACTCTGTCAGCAACTTAAAGTTGGGCAGAGCACCGTAGCTGATGAACAATTGGTCATAGAGTTTGGTTTTAGGAAGCGGTAGAGATTTCAGTGTTAGAACGTAATCCTGGCCATGGATTTCTGCAGTAGTCTGAACAGTATCAGAGTGGTTGAACAGGTCCAGGAATGGCGCCAATGCCAGATTAGTGTCCCCACTGATGAGAGGCTGGAAGTAATTGCTCTGCTTCTTCAGAAACCGAGAGCTCAGGTAAACGCTTCTCGAGTTTACAGTGAAGTATGCCCATCTATATTCGGCGAGAGACCAAATTTCCTGGCCGTAGCTTTTCCCACAGCAATCACAGAGGAGGACGAGACTCTTGATTATTTCGAAGTAGCCACGTATCTGCCGGTTTTGCTCCACGGTTCGTTCTAGCAGCGATTCTGGCAGACACTGCAGCTCTGGTATGGAACAGAAATAGGGAGTTGTGTAGCTTCTGGGCAGGCTTTTTAAATAGGGCGTGTAATCAGACGTTTTAGTACAATCCTGCAGATGTTTTTGGTACAAAAGATAACAGGCAATCAGGGCCTGAAAGGAAATCCTCGAGTCCTTGTCGAATAAATCCTTATTGAAGAGAGTTTTAAAAGCCTCATCCGACTCCAAGGTGACTATGCTTATTAGGCAACCAATGGGTAGCCGAATGAGTTCATCCTCCGGGGAAAAGGTGTCCTGTTTTGAGCACAATCCCCGTCCAGTTTCTGCATAGTTGTGGGCAGATAGGTGAGTGTTGTTTTGCCATCCGAGCGAGTGAAGGTGAACGTATAGATCCCGAAGAGAGCCAGAATCGTCTTCTGCTTTCTTGGCTCTTTGAAGCCGGTTACGCTGTGTGCGACCCATTACTCCCGAGCCCCAGTGCTGCTTTTAATCTGTGTGTGTGCGCTGTTTTGGTCTCTATTTCTATGCTTGCTGGAACGAAATAAGCCAGAGCTTGGAGCATTAATTTATGTTTAATCGGTTGAATGTGGAAAAGGACCAAAGCAACGCACACGCAGACTGTTTACCCCAACCAATCGATGGTAATTTCCACTCAATCAAACCACTAATTTATTGCGTATTTTCGCTTAATTACGAAATCGTAATCTAGTCTAGATAGTCTGGCATGTGGCCTTGAAATGGGTCTAGATTCTAGGGCCAGAATCACGGGGTACTCACCACTCTTGCCTGCACGTGGCTGCCCTTAGCGAGGGTGTAGCATTTCGCACGACCTAAATGGGCGGGTAAGTGGATGCTGCACTGCTTGGTCAGGTAAATGAGTCCGGCCATTACTCAATTGCCAGCGAAAACAAAATAAAATCCCTCTTCTTCTGCACCGTCCCTGTGTTTTTGCGACGATACTGCGCGGCCAGTGTTGGTAAGCGTCGCATAGCAGCGTCAGCTGTTTGAAATCGACAACTCGCAGTGAACGGCATGTCGGAAACGACTTAGCAAAGTAGTTCCATTCCATTTAAAAACAATTTGAATTGTTTTGATTTTAGTTCACTATTATTGTGGCTTAAAAGTAAATGGGTTCCGGTTTTTAATTTAATTATTTTGTATTTATGCTTATTGCATTATTTTTTATTTCATATTGGAGCTTCAAACTTTTTAAATCGGAACCAGTAAACAAATTTACCCTCCGTGCGAACTTGTTCATTTCTTGCAGTTCACTTTTATCACCAATCCAAAAACCGGCATATCTGAATTCTGGAACAGTCCATCGCTCAAAGATGTCCATGTTTGGTTTAATTATCTCCGGACGCCTGCCGCAATCGGACTTTGTAGCTGTGGACAGCACCAAGCTGCTGGTAAATGTGCCCGACATCGAATCCGTCAACTACCTGGTAGTGTTCCTCACCGGCCTATCGCCCCTGCCCGTAGGCACGTCGGCGGCAATATACTTCAGCTGGCCGGCGCGAACGCTGCGCCCACATGGCAATACCTGGGTCACATCAACAACAACAAGCCCTCCGCCATCTTCAAGATCGCCCAGCTGAAAAAGAGCCACGAGCTGGAGGCTCAGGCCCATGGAATGGTCTTCGGCAGCCAGGAGATCTCCCACATCGCCCAGATTGGAGTGTCTCTCGAACCGGAGCTAACGGTTGCTCAACAAACGCCAGCTGTGGTAATTATAATTATTGTTTTGTTTATAGCTTATAAAAGATCATCATTATACATATGTTAATTATAAAATGCATTAGCTCAAACTTTTCCTAAAACTACATTTATTTTACTTACTACATGCTTTATTTATTAATTCTCAATCCTTACCACCGTTCTCGTTTATCATAGTCCACTGCCAACGACAACAAGCAATTCGGCCAGCGAATGCTGGAGAACTTCTTCAACTATGCCTCCAGCTTTGGCGTGGCAGCCAGGGACATTCCGCCCTCCACAAGCGAAACCTTTGTGCCTTTCTCCGTCGTCCAGAACTGGTATACGAATTTCCAGCGACGCATGGAGCAGAACCCAAACTTCTGGAAATACTGAGGAAACCAGGACAGAGGAGTAGTGTCCTCCTGAAGTTGTTGATATTACGAGTAAAGTTTTATATGTATATTCTTTCTGTAACTATGGCTTTTTATTACTGGATGGACTTTATAGGCATACTGTTAACGGAGATTTTGATATAGGATTCTGACTTTAACAACCTGAGCTAAGGCGTTGGTTTTGTTGGCTTGGGGTCCTTCTCCGCGGGACTCTTCTGGGCCTTACTGCCACTGGATGGTGTTTGCTCAGGTTCCATTTTAACGAAACGAGGTTTAGAGGGAGCCGTATTTGATGGACCTCGAGCGGGTGAAGCTTTGGAAGAAGGCGGAGCTGGAGCCGATCCCGGCCTAGGTTTGCGTGGGTTCAAGCTAGGTTTAACACTCATCGGTGCTTTTTGAGCGGCTGACGCTTCAGGAGATGGAGCCGAATCAGACCTCTGTTTCCTTAAAGATTCACTCTTTGCTGGCGGCGAAGCACCAACCATTGATGGAGATGACGACGTGCTGTACGGTTCGGTCTTATCTTGCTGCCTCTTTTTGCTTGAAGATGCACTTCTAGCTGTCGGCGAAGCACCATCTATTGATGGAGATGCCTCGTCATTACCCTGCTGCCTCTTTTTGCTTGAAGGTGCATTCTTTGCTGAAGGCGCAGCTCCACCCATTCCTGAAGATGTCGACTGGTGCTGCTTCTTTTTGCCTGCAGATGCACCTGTGGCTGGCGGCGCAGCACCATCCTTTGGTGGAGATGACTGGCTCTCCGCCTTGGCCTTTTCCTGCTGCTCCTTAACCTTCGCCTCTAGCCGCTTTTTGTTCTCCGGTGTCAACTCCCCAAAGATGCTCTTTATGATGGCCGCGTACTCGCTGTAGTGCTGCACCTTGTTGCCCGTGGCTGGCGAGGAGCTGGGCGGTCGCCCATGGTAGGATACACAGCGGCTGAGATGGGAAAAAGTTTGGCATTAGAATTTGTTAAGAAGCACCCAGTATTCCTATTCTTCCCCGACACCCAGACCTCTTTGGTCTATTTAAACAAAAGCATTGGCGGTGGGCGGCGACGCGAACTGATTTTTATTCGGGCTCTCTGCCTATCGTTCTTTTTGTGGCCTGCAAAAAAGCAATTTGGCAAGCTGACATATTTATTCGGTCTATATAGTGGCCGCTAAATATATATAAGAGGACGTCTACTACTATAGAAGAGCGCTTCTCGGTCTGCGTGGCATCCGAAACACGCGCAACCTCTTCTGACCATGCTGCAATTTCTATTGTCTTACAAGATCTATCAACATTTGATATGCCCTGTAGATAACCGAGGGGCTTCTAAAAACGTATTTAATTTTCAGATATATTTGATAATTTTCTCTAAACAAAATTAAATAAGTTATTTGTTGTTATTACGCTTTGACAAAATGTGAATATGGTTCAAAAAATGCTCTTTACTGTTTACTTAGTAATTTTGTATTTGTAGAAAAAATAGCAATGGATTTCTTTTATATGCAGGGCATCAATGCTTCGCGGTTTATGCACTATCTAAACAAAACAATTCATTTGCAATTACATAGATTGTAGATTGCAGACTGATCAATGATCGGATGGCTTGCCAGCGATTTGCAGCCATAGGGAACGGATCTTTCAGCCAGTTTCGCATGCAACGCGTTGAGTGAAGCATAGTCGAGAGTGTGATCGAGGAATAAAAGCCCGATTAGGTCGCGTGTTGACCGCGAGAATAGGTCAGCAGGAGAGCAGATCCCACGGTTACGCCCACAAGATGATGGCCACTCAGCAGGCGGATTCGCAGGAGGAACAGGGAGGGAATTATACGCCATTCATGTCGCAGACAGCAGCTAATAATATTCATAATTCGCAACGGCTTGTTGATGGCGTCGTAAATCAGAATGCCGATGACTCAGCCGTGTTTTGTTGGCCAAAAGCGGCGCCGGAAGTGTTGGATGTGGCAGGGCGATTTCCGGTTGGCCAAGGAAACTCTTTGCACAGCAGCTACCCCATGAATCACGCGGAACTAAGCAGGAATAAGGGAATATTTCATCCATATTCGCAACCACTGCTGGCAGGAAAGTTCCCTGTGCAACAGAATTTAAGAGTAAACCAAGGGTTTCCATCTTATTCAGGTGATCTGCAACAAAAAGAAACCCAACAACTGTTTACCCCACATCAAGTATACGCACCGTGCCCGATTAGCTTCCCGCTACAACAAGTATACGCCCCGTGGCACCGCAATTTTCCCCAGCTGCTGCAACTGCCGCGAAAGAATTCGGACGGCGCCTTCCCAGAAATGAGCACCACCATGACCCGCCGCGGGCAACCGGCCAGCTCACCGGCCGATCAGACGCCCCAGGAATTTCCCATAATTAAAAACCAATTTGTTAGCTTTCCCAATTATCGAGCAGTGCCGCCGTCTCAAGATGGATCCATCCCAAGATTTCCACCCCCAAAAACACCACCACCTCCAACAACAATGACGCAGCTCGACAAAGTCACAGAAATAAACAGCGACAGCGATATACATGCACATAAGGTGTTTGATAATGAACTCGAGGCCGAGGAAGAAGCATTAAACTTGAACGTGGCAAGGGAAATCGAGCATCAACAGGCGGAAAATCTTAATGACGCCTTCGGCCAGAAGCAGAAGCAGAATCAGAAGCGACGAAACGACGACCACAAAATCAACGACGACGCCATGGATGTGGCCAAAAATAAACGCGAAATATGTGAGCAAAGCAAATTAGAGAAGGCCGAAGATCATAACGAGGCGAATATGAGAGATCGGGAGCGGCAGATCGAGCGGCAGTCAATATGTTTGGCCAGGGAGCAGACAATACGAGTAGATGGGCTAAATCGGAATCGGAATAGCTATAGCTTTGGCTATAGGAATGGCATTAGCAACCACCAGCGGTCCGGCGATCTCTCAGACGCCCGCGAATCGTCGCCAGAGCAAGTGGACGTGAATCTCGGTCGCCAGTTGACCCGTGAGCGCAATCCGTATCCGAATCCGTATCCGAATCCGTATCCGAATCCGAATCTCAACCCACCAAATCGAACCCTGCCAAATATAGAATTACTAAAGAGTTCCGTGCGCGCTTTTCTCGCCGAGAGCCCCTTGCTCAACTGGGATCGGGAGTGGGATTTGGACTGGGAGCTGCTCGACCTTTTGACCGAAGCCATCGAATCGATCTGCGGACAGCCGGAAAGGACGGGTAATCTTTGGAGCGAGGCGCCCGCCGGAGCGGACATGACCGTGAGCAAAGTCAGCGAGGAGCGGGAGACAGAAACGGTTGACGTTTATCCCGCCGAGCAACTCGATCAGCCGACGGAACTGGATGACAATAACAATACCACCAGCAGCCTAGAAATACCAATTAGCGAGATGAAATACGAGCTGAAGAGTGCGAGTCCATCGCTGCCCAGCAGAAGTCCGCAAACAGAGTCGCCAGTCAGCAGATTGAGTGCCACGAGTCGTATACGTAATGTGGAGGCAACTCCTGCTCCTCACTCCCCCTCATCATGCACCTCTACTGGGCGACCTGAAACGCAGCTCGATCAGTCGCGACAGCATCTCCATCGATGCGGACTCCTTGTTGCCGGAGAGAACGCGTTTGCGCCGCCAAAGAAGAGTGCGTTCGCAGGACTCCGTGGAGGAGAAGCCGGAGGATGCGATCGAAAGGCTGAACAAGCTCAAGGCAAGGATATCCGGGGCACTAAGCGAGGTCAAGGGAGTGCTCAAGCAGTACAGCACGGAATCTGAGGCGGAGTCTGCATCTGTGGAACAGCCACAAGTAGCTGAAGCTGCTCCCGTGTCCTTTCGCTTCGTAAAGAAAGTTCGTCGTCGCAGTTACTTCGATGAGGCGGAGGAGGAAAAGGAACAAGCTGGAGAAAGCCAAGAAAATGCTACCAAAGATAAAGAAAATAATCAAGATAAAAGGGAAGAAAAGGATACACTGAAGATTGATAGAGAAACCAAGGTGCAGCGAGAGCAAACACCTTTTGCTAGAGAGGTGGTGTCACCTGTTCCTGAAAGTCAGGAGAGCAAAAATGATGCAACCAAGGAAAACAAAACTATTGAAAAACCTGAGCATTCTGTAGTTAAAACTGAAGAAACGGAAACTCTTGCAAAAGTGGTAGCCAATAATCAGGACAATTTGGATGGAGCTAAACAATCAAATGATTTAAATAATGCCCAGGATCTGAAGGAAAAACCTACATTAACAGATAAGAAAGATGATGAAATCAATAACAAAGATACAAAGTCACTTCACAAGGAATGTGAAGATCACGAAGTTAAAGAGGCTAAGCTGGAGCCACCTAAAATAAATGGAGAACTGCCAAAGACAGCTGAACAAATCAAATCACCTGAGAAAAGCAAGAAGCAGGCCAAAATAGAGTTTCTGGCTAAGGTGCAGAGTGAACTCAAATCAAAGTCAGTAAAGGAAGCAGCTGCCAAGGAGATCGCTCCCAATGAGGTAATTTCTAAGGAAGAAGTTTCCCGGGAATTGGTTCCACAGAACGGAACTCATAAGGAGGAAACTATTAAGGAGGAAACTATAAAAAAGGAATCCCATAAGGGAGCTACACCCCATAAAGCAAACATCGAGAAACCAACTTTAAAGAAATCAGCTCCTGAGGAATCTAAATCTGTAGAACCTAAAGAAAAAACCACCAATGATATATCCGATGTATCCGAGAGCAATCAATTGGACTCCCTGGCCGTCGGAGTACCATCGCCAGATGAGTCAGCCGCATCGCAGCAGCCAGCGTCCAAGATCAAGAAGAAAGTCATCGTGAAGGTGAAGAACCCGCGACGCGCCTCGATCGCCGCGGTGGAACCATCCAAGATCAAGGTGGAGCCGGCCGTCGAGCAGAGCGATGCACTGATTACTCAGCGGCGACCCTCCGACTCGGAGGCGATTGTCAAGCGCAAGAAGAAGCTGAAATTAATGGGCGACACAGTGGCAGCAGCAGCAGCAGCAACATCTACATTATCCACAGCCCCAAGAGCAACATCATCGACAACAAAAGAATCTTCGATAGCCGAGGAGCAATTGGCTGCGCCAGAGGTCACAGCGGTGCCAGCCAAGTTGCCCGCTGCCAAAAGTGGCCAAGGAGAGGCGACAGAAGCAGCAACAGTTGCAGCGACAACAGCAACACCAGCAGCAACAGCAGCAACAGCAACAGCAGCAACAGCAGCAGCAACATCAGCAATCGATGGCGATTCTACTAATTGCAATCAAACGCCAGCGGGCGATCGAAGCAGACGCGCCAGCCTGAAACTTGCGGAGTTGGTCGGTGAAACGGTGCTGGTGGTGCCACAAGAAGATCAGCCATTGGCCGAGTCTAGAGAACGCATCAATCAGCAGGAGACACAGGTGCTAGCGACGCCGCAACAGGTGGCCATCGGCGCTGACATTGCGCCGCAAATAGCAGCGACATTGAGGCACGAAGAGTCATCGCCAGAGTCATCGGAGCACCAAGAGTCGTCCGCCGTTGTCGAAGCTACAAAAGCCGGAGAACAGGCGCCGTCCGGCGTCAGTCTATCCACAATGCCGGAGCTGAAAGTACTCGCCGGTCCGGTGCAACCCGTCAAGATCGAAACGGTCGATCCGTCGATCGATGTGGCCAAGAATCAGAATCAGAACCAAGAGCCGCTGGTCAAGAAGAAGGCTGTGCATCTTGTGAAGAAGCTGGTGCGCAAGAATTCCATAGACAAGCAGGAGCCGGAGAAGCAGCCGGAGAAGCAACCGGACTCCAACGTCAAGCTGAGCAACATCCTTCGCGACAAGAACAAGATCAATGAGCTGTCCTCCAGGATCAACAAACTCACGCCGCCCAAAAAGCAGGTTAAGCCGAAGGAAGAAGCAAAGAAGGAGCCACCTACCCCAAAGACAGAGGAGGCTCTAAAGCCAGAGGAAGCCACTCCTTTGGAGGGATCTCAACCAGCTGAAAATGAAGTTGAGGAAATCGTAGCCGAAGAGGAACCTTCAGCTGATCCTGCGCCAGTGCCGAAGAAACCGCGCAAGATCAAAAAGAAGGTGATCATCAAGAGGCAGAAGCGACGTCTCTCGGTGGGCGATACCTTCTTCCTGCAACCGGAACCGGAGGAGCCCGCCATTCCCGAGGTGGAGACCATCGAGAAAGCCATCGCCTACGTAACAGACGACGAGGAGGACTCCAAGTCGCCCGAGGAGGAGCCGGAGCCACTGAAAGCCCTCAAGTCCTGCATCCACATAAGGGAATACAAGATCGGGGACTTGGTGCTCTATGCGGAACGCTATCGCAAGACCCAGGTGCGCTGGAAGCGGGGACGAGTGCTCGAGAGGATCACCAGCATATCGTACAAGCTGGAGATCGAGGGCAAGGAGGTGCCCGCCCACGTCAGCTACATCAAGAAGTACACCGGGCGGAAGGTGCGATTCGGGGGCAAGGAGTATCTGGAGATCGATTACGAACAGGTGGCCGAGGAGGAGCGACGGGCGGCCAGCTACAGCATATGGAACATGGTGTAGGCATTGCCTACATCTACATCTCATCCAAAAGTCAAAGCAAATAATCCAAAAACAACACCATCCCATCCAGTGGTGTCCAGTGTGTCCGGCCATCTTTGAGTGGAATTAAAAAATTGTCCGCCATGCGAGGTAATTTTTTAAGGATCTCAATTCGACATTCAGTTATGTTATAGTGATTCGTTCGTAAAAGATTAGTTCGAGTGTACATAGACTACTATAGTTAGTGGCTTAGTGTTATCCTAGTGTTTAGCGTAACTTATTCCAGGCCTTTCGTTTACATCTTAAGTACTCTGTATGTGTAATTATAAACAAGCTATTTAATGTTTAAATAAAGCTCAAAATATTTCAGTAATGCGAGGGCGTTCTATTTTTGGTCTGTTCTAAAGCCAATTACTCATAAAACTTTTATGAATCTGTTTATTCCGAAGCTTTCGCCATCCGGCGATTGATGATTGCCTCCCCCACTTGCCAATCTTGTTGTTTTCGGGGTTATTTATAAAGAAAACCCGCTGATGAATGAACAATAAACCGGGGGAACCTTTATGGCCAGAAAAACAACTCAATCAGCAATCAGCAATCAGCTGAATAAAATAATATCCAACCACTCCGTCAATGTCGGTTTTAGCCCCAAGATAATATGCCCCAGATGTGGACAACAGAGAAATGCGTGCCATTAATAAAACTTTGGCGGGCTTTGCCGTGCATCGGCCTGCATTAGATATATCGTATATATATCTGCTCATATGTTTGTAGAGCAGAAAACAGAGAATAGCAAAAAACATTCCGACCAAGATCATCGGACATTTCTCATAATTGATTGTCAAGGCGTTCGGTTCGGCGCTTTCGGAATTCCTGGCGCAAAAATTTCTCGCAATTACCAGAGATTTTAATTCACGCTGACAAAAACAACAAAGAAAATCGGGAAAAACACACATGCCAGCCATAAACATAACATATAGCGCAGGGGAATGAGGCATGCCACCATATAGTATTATAGAATATGCTACATTCCTAAGGCCTCTGGCGGGATTTTCATTCAATTTTCGGGGCTGGCAACCGCCGAGTCGAGTACTTTATATATCTATTGTGTGTGCGATCAAGACATTATGTATGTCTGTCTGGTAGCGGGTACACAGGAAAAATTCATAATTCATGCCTTTTGTCAGGGGAGTGTCACATAAATTATGGCAAAAGGTAAACAAAGGATTTAATCAGACGAGCCACATTTGCTTTCCTCAATCATTTAAAGGTAATTTGAATATGTCAAGTTATTACAAGTGATTTAAAACCATTTTTAATAAATTAATCAATCAAACTGATAAATAATTTCTACCATCAATTAAATGACATTTTATTATATTCTAAAATAATTTAAAAAAAGAAAAATATTCTGTCTTTTTAAGTATGGAAAAGATTTTTAGAAGTATTATCTATTCATCGCAAATTTTTCCAGTGCAGCTACATATTTGCAGAAAAGCAATTGAAAAACAAAGCATTTTATTTTGTATGCTCGGTATTTTGAGTTGGGCGATAGTTGGAAACACTTCTGAAGACCACAGCATCCGCAGCACCAACATCAAAGATTTCAAGTGCAGAGGAGAGTCCTCGCGGTTACACATGATATCACATATATCTCTCTCAAACATAATATATTTTTTTGAAAATTTCCCCAAAAATATTCACGTTGGGGAGGCAATATTGTTTTCCATAAATCAGAGCAGAAATCTAGCGCGACAATGGGCGTTATTAGGGAGCATTGTTGGGTCCGAGATGCGAATAAAACCGAAAACTGTTGTGGAGAGGCGAGATATCTAGCCAAATATCATAGGAGCCTCTACGAGGCGGATGGTGAGGATCGGGGAAAGTGTTTCGGTATCAAATCTGTGCGAATCTGTGCCAAGTTCCTTGCGCCAGTTCTCTGGCTGTAAATACAATGCGATGTCCAACATCGACATGGCTGTCGGCGCTCTGCAACGAGGCCATTCGGACCGGCCAATTACTAACAACGCAGTTGCCAAATTCAACAAATTATTGGGGCCTTCGGGGCTGGCGGCAATTAATCGTTTCGGAGGGACAGTAGCATGAACCCGCATTTCTGATTGCTTACTAACCCCTTAGTTATTATAGTAACAATGCGGAGGAACCACCTCAATCCTCCTGCACTAAATATAAATTCAGGAAATGAACTTTTCGGGGGCGCCACGTGAACTCTGACGAGGCCAAGTGCGTTACACGTTCACTCGCCACCCGAAGAACAAACAACAAAGTATTTGGCAATGTTTACAGAAACAGTCCACACGTTTGTAAATCTTTAGGGCAGAACAACCTTCTCAAATTCACTTGGCACATGTCTGATCAAAAATAAAAAAGAAACAAAGTCACCAGCAAATAGTAACAAGTGACACTGATTAATAGATATTTATACCTGATTGAGATTTTTAATTAACGTATTATCTTTGTTGTTATTTATACTTTGTTGTATACGTAATATATGTACATATAAACATAGCAAGTAATAACTATTATTTGCAGAAGGGAAAACCAACAATGAATTTTGCCCAATATATTTTAACACGTATTTCGACCCTCTGCTCTTTGAATCTTTCTGTTTAGTGGCTATAAATTTCAAGAGGCTGTCATCATGGCCATTAAGCATATATACCTCTCTCCCCAAGAAATGCCAGGTATCAGAAGAAACAACAATTAAACCGAAAATCCCAAAACCTCTGCTGTTGGCATGCTTTTGGCTTGGATATTATCATCGCTGTCCCGATCACCAAGAGCGCCAAAGATGGCGTCACACGGCGACCATTTTACGGATCTGGGAATTGTTGCTCGGGGGTGTCAAGCGATACGTGAGATGTCCCAAGAAGTCGTCACCAACACCGATTGACACTTTGAAGGTGCGTCAACGATAATCGCACCTGAATTGAATCACCCAGGAGGGGAGTAGCTCAAGGCTCAAGGCATTGTACCTTGGCATTTAGATGTTCGTTCGACTTACGTTTCGTTTTCGTTCTTGAGCAGCGCGGTGTCGAATCTTGGTTGCACGTAGAACCAGCCACCCATGTTCTTGTGCTCCTCCTGGGCCCACAGCAGCTCAGCCTTGGGATACAGCTTCAGCTGCTCGGTGATCAGATCGTACGGGAAGGGACACAGCTGAATAAAGAGATAAAGGGGATTAGATTTAAGATTATAATTATTATTATTATTACTATTATTATAAAGGAACTAACCAGTGCCAGTAATATCACCTGATAAGCCGACAATTTTATAGATCTATGATGACCCATCACAACTCACCTGTTCCACCCTCACAAGAGCCACCGTTTCCACCTGCTCGTGATCATCGCGCTCCTTGACGAGATCGTAGTACACCTTACCCGAGCAAAAGACCAACTTCTTAACGCACTCGGGCTGCTTGCCGGCGGGTCCCTTATCGGGAATGATCCTCTGGAAGCAGCTGCACTCGTTGAAGTCCTTGAAGGGACTCCTGGCCAGCGGATGGCGCAGCAGCGACTTGGGCGAGAAGTTGATCAGCGGCTTGCGGAAGCCCATTTTCACCTGGCGGCGGAGTCCGTGGAAGAGATTCGCGGGCGTGGAGAAGTTCGTGACAATCCAGTTAACGTTCATCAGCTGGCGGGCAACGAAGTCGGCATCGCAGGTGTCCGGATAGACGTCTGGATCATCGTCGCTCATCTGGAGGAAGCGCTCCATGCGACCGGAGGAGTGCTCTGGACCCATGCCCTCCATGCTGTGCGGCAGCAGGAGCACCACTCCCGACTGGCGCACCCACTTGGCCTCGCCGCTGGCGATGAAGGTGTCAATGATGCACTGCGCCGTGTTGCAGAAGTCGCCGAACTGGCCCTCCCAAATGACCAGCGCATGGGGACTGGCCATGGAGTAGCCGTGCTCGAAGCCCAGCACCGCGCACTCCGACAGCGAGCTGTTGGACACTGAGTAGGGCGCCTGGTCGGGATACAGGTGGTCCAGGGCGATGTACACCACCTTGTCGGCCGTTTGGTGATGGAGCACATGGTGCCTGTGCGAGAAGGTGCCGCGCTCCACATCCTGGCCGGACAACCGAACGTGGATGCCCTCCTTCAGCAGGGAGCCAAAGGCGAAGGCCTCGCCGAGCGACCAGTCAGCCACCTTGTCCTGCACCATCTGCTTGCGCAGCGCCAGGATGCGGTGGATGCCCCTAAAAAGGATGTAAAGGGATTATAACAGTTATAAGATTTTAATATATAAATAAAATAAATAGGTATATAATCTTTAGTGCAACTCACTTGTGCATCTCAAATTTGTGCTCTGGTGGCGGAGGACTGGAGAAGATCTCCCCGATGGTCTTCAGGGTGTCGGTGCTGATGCCGGTGGGACACAACTCCAACCGATCGCGTCCCTCAAAGAATCCCGGCCAGGGCGAGTCGATCCAGGAGGAGTACTGCAAATGATAACCAGTCAAACTCAGCCAATATTTAATCCTTCATCTTTCTTACCTTTATGGACTTGACTTCCTTGGACTCCTTCCACGCTTCCTCGCAGATCTTGTCGTAGTTGGCCACCATGGCCTTGAACTCGCTGTCCGTGACCACGCCCTCCTTGATCAGCTTTTCGGCGTAGAGCTGCAGACAGGGCTTCAGTTTTCGGATGCGCTGGTACATCAGCGGTTGGGTGAACATGGGCTCATCCGCCTCGTTGTGACCGTTGCGGCGATAGCCCACCAAATCGATGACCACATCCTTCTTAAATGTGGCCCGATAGTCGGCTGCGATGCGGGCGCACTGGATGCATGCCTCCGGATCGTCGGCATTCACGTGGAGGATCGGGGCAGCCACCACTTTGGCCACATCCGTGCAGTAGCGCGAGGATCGGGAGAACCGGGGATCGGTGGTGAAGCCCACCTGGTTGTTGCTCACAATGTGAATGGTGCCGTAGGTGGTGTAGTTGGGCAGGTCCGAGAGGTGCATCGACTCGAAGACAACGCCCTGTCCGCAGAAGGAGGCGTCGCCGTGGATGATGATGGGCAGCACCCGCTTGCCGCAGACGTCGCCGCGTTGGAACATCTCCGCTCGTGCCTTTCCCAGCAGCACAGGGTTAACGTGCTCCAAGTGGGATGGATTGGCCACCACGGTGATGCGCACCATCCGGTTGGTCTGCCGGTTGAGGCGCTCCTGGAAAACGCCCAAATGGTATTTCACATCTCCGGAACCAGAGTCTGTGGCCTGCAGGCCGTGGAACTGCGACAGGATGTCGGAAATGGGTTTCCTACAGACATTGGCCAGAACATTCAGTCGTCCACGATGCGCCATTCCTTGAGATAAAAACGAATCAGGAAGAGTTCTGAAAATCATTATTATTAATAATAATACCTATAAATATGGACTCCACGCCCGTGTTGGTCGAGCGATCCACCACCTCCTTCATTGTGGGTATCATGATGTCGCAGCCCTCCAAGCCAAACCGTTTCTCCGATGAAAATTTCTTGGCCAGGAAGTTCTCGAAGCCCGTCGAGCGGGTCAGACGCTCCAGGATTAGTTTCTTCTCGTCCTTGGACAGGTCCAAGCCTCCCGGCTTCTCGAATCGGTCGCGGATCCAAGTGGTCTTGGTCAGCGAGGTTATCTGCATGTACTCCACTCCTATGTGGCCGCAGTAAATGCGCTCCAAGCGGTCCAGGATTTCCCTGATGGCAGAAAAGTTAAAACAATCCATAAAAAAGATAATTATAAAACCCACCTGAGTGGCAAAAACTCCTCGTCGCCTCCAATCATTGTGGATGAAGGCAACTTGAACGTGGCATTGAGATCACCTGCAGGGCAACAAGTTAATTGATCTCAAAGATACTCTCTGGCTGACCAACTTCTTACCAAATATGTAGGAATAGTGCTGCCTAAGCACCTCCTTGGTGGCTTGTCGTTCGGTGCCATCTACGGAGGCCCCTTTCTGCGGCCCGACAATTCCCAAGGGATCCAGGTCAGCGGCCAGATGACCACGCGATTGATAGGCCCGAATGATCGCCTGGATCGCGTGGTGATCATCGATGTTCTTCCAGTCGCTGGGAGGCGGGGCAGGAGCGGGAGATGCTCCGCCAGATGCGGTTCTCTCACCCGATCGGGCCTTGACAGCTGTCCTTTCCACCGGGGGACGTCTGTACTTCCGGGAGTGGGAACTCTGAATCGGAATTCCCTTCGAGACTGGCCGCTCGTTCCCGTTGAAGAGGTCATCCCAGGACTAGCAAAGGATTTATTTAAATAAAAGTTTTGTTAAATCATAAATACTTCAGATAATCCAAACACTCTTTAAATATAAAGATGACGGGATCTTACCTGATCCACGGACTTGGGGTTGTTCTTCCACTTGTTGTACAGACCCTCGATGTAGGCGGCACTGCAGCCACTGGCGAAGGAGTCCATATCCTGGGTACCCCCCAACGGAGAGGTTGTCTGAATACCTCGCAGGGCAAACTGGGCCAAGACGTGGTGCTTAGAGCCCAGAAGACCGAGGGCCAGTTCCCTCCTCATCTGCACAAGGCCCCTCAGCCGACACTGGTTCATTTTCTTCCAGTAACTTTTGAATTTTGAATTTGAGCAACTGAAGGTCGAAATGTGTTTTGAGTCTAAAGGCCGAGTGGTACGTCAACTTAAGCAGGTGAGTCAATTTTTGCCAGACATGCTGGGATTCGATCGATCAGATGCTAGTCCAAAGCAATAAATTCTTGGGTTCCAAATACGTTTTTATGGAGCTATATTCAAAATCAGAGATTAAATTTCAAGAGTCTGGTGTTGGCTTTATCAAACTTTTAAGTGTTAATTCGTCTGCATATATCAACGATTTCTCTAAATTATTGTAGACCAGCTTCTTAAGATCATTTTTCTCGGCACTCGAAACCCTTAGAGATTTAAATTTTTCGGGTACAGGTTTTTTTGAGTTGGTGCTTTCGGATTTTGCAGATGATTTTGGTTTATTATCAGCTTTTGGGTTTTCTTTTGGCTGAGGTATAAAAATTCTAACCGTTGCTTTGTAAACTGCTGGCTTTTGATTTGGTTTACTTTCATTACTGCCTTCCTTGGTTTTTTCTGAATCCATATTGTCAGTCAAGTCTTTAAAAGTCTTACTTGGTCGTTCGGTAGCCTTCAACTTTGTATTATCTTTCTCGTCTTTATCAAGATTACATTTGGTGAGTTGGCTTGGTTCCTGCTTTGATTTTTCTTCTTTCGAATCTAAAGGTATTTTATTTGTTGATTTTTTTGTGGAATTCCCAACTTTTCCCTTTCCTTGTTTCAGGCTCTTTTCGTAATAACTTTTAAAGTTCACAATAGTTTTTTTCTTAGAATTGGCTTTTGAACGAGGTCTTATATAAATTTCTGGTTTAATTCCCCAACATTTCATAAACTTATTGAACGATCCATATTTCGTTTTGAAGTTGTTACGCGAATTTCCCATTCTTCTGGATCGCGTTAGGTTTCCTGCTGAGATTAACAGCTTTTCAGGCTCGTTTGGTTCCTTTATTTGGGAAATACTTCTAAATGGTTTTTTAAAAAATTCATTTACTTCTAATTTGTTTGTTAAGACAGAACCAGGAATTCTGGTATTCGGCAAACAGTTTCCGTATTTGTTGAATCCCGTTTTGGAAGATGATGGCGCATTCTGGTCGTATAATCCAGATGTCCGGATTTCCGGTGAATGTGAAAGTAAATTGATATCACTTTTTTGAGGACAGGTCACGCAAGTATTTAAATCATTCTGATCACTTGTAGGCTGCGAAGTGTTCGACAGGTTCTCCAGTGCCGGAGGAAGGTTCGTCCTCATCACAGGCACTGAAGATCCTTTCGATATGTAATTCGAGTGCCTTGCCACTGGAGAACCGGATCCAATCTGCAAATAAACTACACTTTCAACTACAACGGTTTTAAATTATTATGCAAAGAAATAAACATTCTGAAAATGGAAAAATCATTAAAATAATTTCCTTATCTGAATGCGGATCTCCGGTTTTCGTTCCATTCTTTTTGGTCTGCTTAAGTTTTTCGGGTGAGGTTGCGACTCTTTCAGAAGGCGAAGAAATATTAAAGCCATTTCCAAGATGCTTGTTAAAACTTTGTATAGAATTCGGATTGGGATTGGGATCGTATTGCAGGGGAGTGGTCATGGCCGTATCTCCAACTAAGTCCTTAAAGAAACGCTGCCAGGACTAATCAAAAATTATATTTAGGAAATCATTTAGCATATAACTTGCTGCGGTAACTTACTTCATGAATTGCGTTATTGTCCTCGATCCACTTAGTGAACAGGTTCTCCATGTGACTGGCATTTGATTTACTCGCTAGAACGTCAGACTCGAAGATTCCTGGCCCTGGACCTCCGGGTACCTCGGTTTTGGATCCCAAACTTATAAGTTGACAACGTTGTGATGTGAGCTTCAGAAACATCCTAACGCCGCTCCAAGCCATTTTGTACACCCTACTCATGCGTAAATTTGTATGATCTATATCCGAAAAACAATTTAGTACTAGTATTTACACATCGAATTTTTTTTAGTTAAAAAATTTCGATTTAGAACTCAGTGACCTGGACTTTTTTGTAACTGCACTTCAAAAACGGAACCGGAACTGAACCAAATAGTTCAACTGTACATAAACCATTTCTATATTAAAGGAGGAGAGCAATCTAATTTAAATATTAAAATTAAAGTAATAGTGATCTATTATTTTAAAATTAAAACGTTTATTTTGCAGCAGTTATTTTGACCCGGAACCAGTCACAAATCAGTGTTGGAAAATGCTCTCCTCCTTCCATTTACCCAATTTCCGGCTGCGGTCACACTAATTAAGCCGACACGATAATAATACCTCTAAAATTGTTTAATATTTTGGTAAATAAGCCTAGGAGAATTGCAGGAGGCGTCGTGATGAATCAGTTCCACGCCCCCTCTTTCGGCGACGAAGTGTTCGAGTTAAACGACACGCCGGCAGAGATTCCTAGCCAATCCGTAAGTGAAGCAGGGCAAACCCATCCAGAATTTGGAGGAGCAGCGGAAACCAATTGGGCACATGTACACTTGTCTGCTTTTTTTTTTTTTGGGAGCCACAGTCGACCGCCCAACTTAATTGCATTTCATCGATGCCATAATGGTTTTATAATAAGCGAGGGGGAGATCGGAATCGGCGGGTTGTTGGGTTCTTGTTGTTTGTTTGCTGGCGGACAGCTGGAGGAGCTACTCCATGCCAGACCGCCCCCATTCCCCCTCTTCCCTATCCAATGGGTTATCGCCGCGTCAGCTTCTTATCAGCGAACGGCACGCACACACTGCCGCACAATCAGCAGCGCCCTCTTTCCCCCGTCCAACTGAACTGGGCTTGGGCGAACGATTTGTACATTAGTTTAGTTGCTCACTTTGTGATTGGGATGAAGAAGTTTCTAGTGAGCTCTCTAGTTACAAGGCATAATATAATATTAACAACTGTATACCTTCTCTTTCGTTCTTTCTTGCAGTCGCGGAGAATGCTTAGCTTGGATCAATCCATGTTGAACGACGATAACGAGGAGGATTGCGACACATATGGAGACGCAGGAGGAATCGGAGTCCAGAGCTTGCTGGCCCAACCGGAACCGCAGTCGATTGCACAGGCACCTCCCAAACCTCTAGCCCCCTTTGCTTTGTTTTTCCGTGACACCGTAACCGCAATCAAACAGCAGAATCCCTCCTGTTCATTAGAGCAAATGCAGGTAATAGTGCAGACCATGTGGGATTCTCTGGACGAGACACAAAAGAACGTATACAACCAGCGACACGAGCAAGAAAAGCGTGACTATGTGCGCTTAATGCGGGACTATCGGCACCAGCTGTCTGAATCGGAGGCGACATCGGAAATGGAAGTTCCTTCAGTCTTAGTCCCGCCTCAGCCACAAATGGCTGCTGTTATTCCACCTCCAATAGTGACACCCAAGGCGGAAGTTGTCGAGCAGCCAGAGCAGTTATTAATTACCCAACAACCGCCACCCGACCAGATTCAACTGCTGACTGAGGCGGCAAGGGTGCAGAAGTGTACCCGGGAACAGTGCAACAAGCCGGCCATTATTAATCCGGACTGGGAGGACGAGTACTGCAGCAACGAGTGCGTGGTCATCCATTGCCGGAATGTTTTTAACGATTGGGTGCTATCCATGAAAGCTTCGCCATCGTAGCCACGCCAACCCCCGCCCACCAACTGGATGAACTGAATCTTAGCTCAAATATAAAAGCTGCACTTGGATAAGCCTGACGAGCCAGCTATTGCCGTGCCGTGCCGTATATTACTCGAGAATATAGGGCTGATAAGCAGTTTGCGTTACGATAGTTATAGTAGACCCAGTTTCGGTTCTAATTAGAATTTGTGTGGAGTCTGAATAGTTGCGAGACACGCTTTGTATGATACGATAATTGTAGGAAATAAATCATAGCATTTACGCTAAAATAAAGATAAAACACTATATATACAGTATATTAGGTATGAGGACCGATGTTAATCAGATTTTACTTAGTGATTGGCTTGAATGATTGCATTTAATAAATACTATTTATTGTACTCATATTTTAAGTAAAATAAAATTGAAGTTGCTTTTTTATTAGAAAACTATTTTGTTTTATACTTGAAACAAAATATTGTTAAATATCCGAATTCAGTTTCGATTCCCAATACCAAAATAAGAGCTTTGCTTTATATGGTAACTTTTAATAAATACACACATTTATTACTCTTGCACTTCATTATCAATATATCAATGTATCAATGCCGTCGCTTACAAAAATTCACTTTCGCTCGCATCGTTTTATATGTACCAAATAATTAAAATTTATAAATTAATTTTTAAAAATAATATGTAAAAGACGTTTCCTTGGTTGCCTTGCTGAAGTAATGCGCCATTGTTACGAGTACGAGTTAAATAAACAACAGTATAAAAAATTTCAAGCTTAAATAATTATAGAGAGAGATGGTTTTTCAATCATTTTCTCATATATACAGACTTGCATATATATATTTTATTGGGCGGGCTTTGATAATAAAGCGGGATATAGAGAGAATAAGACCTTAAATGCAGCCTGCAAAGCGCATAAAGCATATAGTGTAGCATCCTCGGATCCACAAGATCGTACTTTGAGTAGAGAGTTTGGGTTTTAAGCACTTGTCTCGCTTAGCATTTAACGTAAACATAAAGCGCACTCTAAATAATATCACCAAATACTTGTTTTCAATTTCAGTTTTCTTTTTCTGTTTTTAGTTTTTCTGGCTTATCCGCTTTGCATATAATCATCGATCGCTTCCCTATCGCAATAAGCTAATTTAATTATACTTCGGAGTGGGTTAGGTTAAACTGCAATAACTTGTTTCCTTTGTTTGGGTTTCGGCTGTCTGGTATAACGCATTTAATTATCGCGGTTGTCTGTTGGTAGTAACATCATCTTATTATCGTTATTGTTTAATGGTTTCATGCGCCAACTGCAACGGCAGCTGCATGCTAGATTATTGACTAGTGTTGCCTTATGGGACGTGTACGGTATTGGATTCGGGTTCGTATCCATTTTGGGCGTCATATTTGATACGACCTGGATAAATAGGAGATTTATTGTGATTACTATTGTTTAGTGGATAACCTGGATAGTCAATACAACTTACCCCATGTTGATGCTGTTGCTCCTCTTTCACTTTTTGATTATTCCACAATCTGCAGTTCGCTGATGTCCAGATCGGCGCTGTCCTTGCAGAAGGTGCTGGAGCGCTCCAACTTTGACTCAACCCGCTCCTTGGGCGCCCCACTCTCCATCTGGGCATCGATGAGGAGGTCTAGCTTCTGTTTTACCGCCTGGGCCGACTTGTAGGTTCCATTCGCCAGCCCATTGGTGGCTATCTTAGTTGGGCCACCCACGCCATTACTCGCTGCCGTGGTTTTCTTCAGGTGCAGCGTATTGGGGCGTCTGGTGGGAATGCTGGAGGGCAGGCTGTTGCGCAGATTGTGCTGCTGCAGCATGCTTGATACCGCGGAATGTGAGGATGAGCGCAGGGGGCCGGCGGAAGAGCGCAATTGAACTGATCCACGCTCCTCGACCGGCGCTTCGGTTTGCTTCTGTTGCTGTTGCTGCTGCTGCAGCTTGTTCTTCTCCGCCCGCTTGGCCAGAATTTCGCGCGACTTGGCCGAAAGGAAGCTGTGTCGTCCCTTGTTTGGCGCTCCATCTGCCCCGCCGGCGGGCACTGAAATGGAGCGCTGCTTGAACAGCTCCCGCGTGGAAAGTGTGCTGCTAACGGAGGACAACCTACTGGCTGCCGACTTGGTCGTGTGCACAGAACTAGGGCTTGAACCGTTGGAAGTCATTGCATTGTGCTGCTGCTTCAACTGACGCGTTGATTTGTTGCCCACCGTGGTACCACGTTGTGTGGCCTTGATTTTTCCCGTCGCAGGACCTTTTCCGTGGCCATTTAGTTGCTGGATCCGGGCCAGTTTCGAGCTGCCAGAGAGCGACTCGTGTGAGATCGTTTTGTTGGTAATCACAGAACTCTTCATGCTCTCCGCCAGCGAGTTCTGGTCGGAGGAGTATCTGTCCTGTGGACCCCTGGAGGTGCTCTTAGCTCGACGCGCCGGCGACGACAAGCTGTCCATAGAGAGATTGCTGGACTTATTGCCTAGACGCGTGCCATTTTGCACTCTGCGCGCCGCCGGACTCGAGTTCCGCGAACTGTCGCTGGAAGAAATGTGCAAGTTCTTGGCCGGTGCCTTTCTGCCTCCGTTGGCTGGAATGCTCGAGCTGGTGGCACTGCGCACGGGTCCAGAACCATGACCGTTTGTAGCTGTTGGAGCGGCAGCTCTTGGCTTGCGTGGCTCCAGATAACGGGGTCGAACTTCGCCCAGTTTGGCTGTTACCGCCGTAGGTTTTCCATGAGCAGTCTTAGCTTCCACTGCGGGAGCCGCCACGGGAGCTGGTTTCTTGTGGGTCACTGGTGGAGCCTCCGATTGAGTGCGTCGATGAAGATTCAGGCTGTTGCGCTCCGAAGCTACCTGGGAACTGGCGCGATGAGGAACATATGCACGGGAATTGGACTTCAGTAGTTTGTCTGGAAAATATAAAACATTGTTAAAGCCTTGATTAAAAATAGTAAATACAAACAACTTACTGCCCTCCCGCGACTCATGATTCGCCTGCACTCCTCTGTCGGCAGTTTGCACGTGACCCGCTCCACCAGTCGCCTCCTGCGTCTGCGTGGCCTTGTACAGCAGTGTCTCCTGGGCATGAGCGCGCTTTGTCTGCGCCTGAATGGCCAGCTTGATCTGCACGAGGTCCTGGCTGCGTGTGCTGCCGCCAAAAGAGAAGGCCTTGCCCACCGGCTTGCCATTCTGCCGCTTCATGTCCAGCGGTTCGGTGAGACGAGCCAGCGTTTGGATCTTCTTTCGCAGCTCCAGATCCATGCGCTGCCAGGCGGTGACGCGCATGGCACGTGAGCACTGCCGGATGAGGCACTGCTCAACTGCGTACACAAGGGCTCCCACCAGTCGGATGTACTCCGGCTGCCAGTCCAGCTGTTCCTCCTGCAGACCCTGCAGTTCTCTTGCTAGTTCGGATTGGCCCAAACTGGCTGGCATGTGGATGACCTTTGCCTGCAGAACGGTGTTCAAGCGGGTAACCCGCTGATAGCTGCGACAAGCCTGCTCTGGCGTCAATTCAGCCGCCGTGTGTAGGAGCAGGGTCTCCAGGCGAGGAATGTGCCGGCTGCGGTCGTGGCCCAGCGAGAGGAAGGAATCGCTGGCAATCAAGCTGGCAAAGTGGTCGCCCACATAGGCGTAGGCCGCTTCCAAGATCTCGCGCACCAGCTGCTCGCAGACATGACCCCATCGGTAGGCCGAAAGTTGGGCCAGCAGGTGGTCGCAATCCAGCACTGTGTCCAGGACCGTCTCCGAGGTCTTTGTTTCGGGAAAAGAAAACCATGAGCAAGTTTATTAATTAATTTATTTATTTATTTATTATACTACTCACCAAATAGGCAACAATCTGCTGGCGGCATCGACCGAGTATGTCCGGCGGGAGCTGGGCAAACTGCCTGGTTGGCCAAACTTTCAGATAGTGGCGACACGTCCAACGCAAGCACTTCCTGTAGAGATCATCCAGAGCATGATTCAGAGCCACGGGCAACACCTGCAGGATGCCATCGGTGCAACCGGAGCAGGGCTTGTGGAAGTTGTGGCAGTAGTTCGTCTTCAGGGCATGCGAAGTGACCTCCTTGAGGCCCTCCAGTCCCAGCAGATCGGCCAGAGCAGCCAGCTCCATCAGGCTAATGCCATCCGGCGGATGCGAGGCCCCCGAATAGATGTGGCACAGGGCAAAGTGCACCGCTGCATAGGAGTAGCCCTGCAAGGAGACCACGCTCTGCGATCCATGGCCGGCCAGCATGGCTGCAAAGTACTGACAACGGGAGCGCAGGATGCACTTGTGGGCCCGGATGCGGCGACCATGCACCTCCACCAACATGTCCGTGGCGATTTCCTGCAGGAACATCTTGAGCAAATCCTCCCCCAAGCGTCTGGGCTGCCTGCAGCTCAACGAGGACTCATCCATGCCCGATCTGCTGAAACTTGAGGCCAGGCTCGAGTCCGCACTGAGATCCGTTTGGATGTAGTCCACCTGCTGGCTCTGAACCTGCTCCAGAGTCATGCCGTTGGGCAGTGAGTTGGAGAACTCCTTGGAGAAGTTGGGGAACAGGCGGGAAAGACTCCTGATGTTGTCCACCGAATTGGTGAAGTTCTGCAGCGTGTTGCCCGTGGATCGTGTCATGGCCCAGGAATGCGGACGCGCACGGTTCTCATCCCTGTAGAGTCGCTGGCCCAACTGCGAGCTCCTGTGGTTGTTGCCCACGCTCTTGCTCATCGAATCCGGCGACTGCAGGTCGTGCTTCACGGGTTTATCCATGTCGGAGAGCTTCACGAAGCTGGAGGGGATCTGGGAGGGTTGCTGCGCCGTCTGTTCTCCATGCTCATTGACCGTTTCCAGCAGTTGCTTTTGCTTTTCAATGGTGGCGTGCAGGGACTCCATGGTATGGCCATTGTTCAGGGTGACCTGTTTCTTCGGCGAGGCCGTCTCCTTAGCCTCGATGATGGTTTCCATTACGCTGCTGGTGCGATTCGAGCTGCTCGTCAGCTGGAGCGGCATTGAAACCAGATCCGCCGCCTGTTCCTTGGCCAGCTGTTCGTCCTGCTGGAAGGTGAGATCATCGGTGTCGGTGTTGGAAGCTGGCGACATGTCCTTGGAAAGAATGCCCTCTGTGACCGAAGCCAAGCTGGACTTGTCATAGGTCTCGTTCAACTGAGCATCCCTTCGCCTCTTCTTGATCCTTCCCTGTGCCTGACCCTGCTCCTCCTCCGAGCAGCTGCTCAGGCCAGGATTGGAACCACTCAACTCGTCGTAGGGCGAGACAGAGCTATCGATCGACAGAGACGAGGCCTTCGATATAATGGGCAGCTTGTCAATGATGCTCATCAGACCCGCTCCCGAATCCGTGGCTCCATTGGCAGTCAGGCTGATGGAACGCTTGCAATCGTTGCCCACTCCCGTTCCCGAGCCGGATGCCTGCTCCGGCTGGCCATTGTTGCTGCCCCAGCTGTGCCGCTTGGCGGGATCGCTCTGCTGGCGATGCTGCTGCGAAAGCCGACGCAGTGCAGCCACCGTAAGGGGAGGCTCCAGGTTGCATCTGTAGTCCAGGGACTTGCTCTCGCCAGTTCCTGCTGACATATCCTTCTGATTGGAACTCTTAGCCATCAGAGTCTCCGTGGAACTGGCACTGGATTTCATCACCTCGCTGTCGCCTCGCCTCGAAGCCGAGGAACTCAATGAGCTGGACAATCTCTGAGCCAAGCTCAATGGTTCTTTTCTGCCATTCGAACGCGGTGTCTTCTGCTCCCCAAAATCTATGAACATACTGAAGATATTCTTGGGCTCCGGCTTGGACTCCTCCTTTACTTCAGGCTGATCCTGGTCCTTTGGGCCCAGCTCTTCATCTTTACCGCTCTGCGAGAGATCCACAAAGAATCCCGCTGACTTCGGTGCCGTGTAGGATTTGCTCAGCTGCGATGGAGGAGCAACTGCTGTGGGTTTTTGTGTCTGCTCCTGGGGCTTGCGGTCCATGTCGTCCAATGAAACATAGAAACCACAGCCGCTCTTGTGCGAGCTGTTCGAATCTGACCTCTCGCGAAAACTGGATGTTGTGCTGCTGGTGCTCCGCCTCCTCTCCGGCCGGCAGTCACTCATGTCCACCACCCAGGAGGCAATGCCGGGCACGGGTTTCCTCGGCACTCCCGTCTTCACGCGCATTTCCACCCCAGCTATCTCAGCGTCTTCGGCCAGATCCTCGTCGTCGTCCTCATCCGCCAGCGGGCGAGTGGGTGCAAAGTCCAATGAAACGAATCCGCCCGAGACAATCGGACAGGTGTCTGTGCGTCTCTTGATGCTGGGACTCTCGCACTGCTTCTCCCGGAAGTCCTCGATGGACGCTCCTCCGGAAACAATGGGATTGGCCTCATCGAACTTGGAACTCCGCTTGGGCGTGCGGGGCAATGGCAGCGGCGAATCCGTGGCATCACTGCAATAGGCACCCGAATCCCGGTGGTGCGACAGTGAGGAAGATAGCGTGTAGTCCCTGTGAATCGAGGAGTTATTACTGCCGGCCGACGCGGGTTCGATGTGCACCATGGAGTTGTGCGGCGTGGAGGCGGAGGCACCCTGGTGGTTCCTGCCCTGCTCCGACCACACCAAACTCGGTGCCGGACTGCTGGAGGAGTAGTCCGTCGTGTAGCTGAGATCGGGATGATGCTGACTCGAATTCTGGTTGTGCTGGTGCTGATGGTGGGTGAACTTGGGACTGCTGCCCAAGGGGTGCACACTGAAGTGCTGGGCATTGTGCTGGAAGCTGTACGGCACCGACATGGGAGCAGGTCGCTCCTCAACCGGCTCGTCCACTGGCTCCACTGGATCCTCCGGTTCCGGATCCCTCTGCCTCTGTTTGACGCCTTTGCACCTGGCAAATGACTTGTGAAACTGCTCCAGTTGCTCTGTGGGCGAGGGCTCTGCGTCTCCCTCGGCGGTCACTTCCTGTCCGACCTCCTCCTCCTGGGCGTGGCCATCTAGGCTAGGAAAGGACAGCACCTCATCCTCGTCCCTTAACGAGGATGCGTCTATGAAGCAGGCACTGGTTCCCGAGGTGGACAACGGTTGATCCCGCTTCTCCAGATCCCGCAACAAAGCACTGGCACTGATGCCCTTGAAAATCGAAGATGTTTCGGTTTCCTCGGCCTGCTCAGGTGGAGCAGCATTCGCTGCCGGATACATGGACTCCCAGGAACCAGTTTCCGTGGACACCGTCGACGTTTCCATGCACACGATTTCCTCGTTCTGCCGTTGTTTTTCCTCCTTCGAGGGTGGCTTCACCTTGGTGCCTCCTTCGTAGGTTTTGTTGTCCACAGAGCCACTTGAAGAGGGCAGGACGTTCACAACGGCGGCGGTGGCTCCGTTGCAATCCGGACTGGAGATCGGAGAAAAGGTATCTCGCTCCTCTCCCAAGTCCAGCTCACAGGTTTTGGCCGATCCTGAGCCTGAACCTGATCCAGAGGCAGATCCTCTATGCTGCAGCTGCTGCTGCTGCTGTTGTTGTTGTTGTTGGGGATGCAGTGCAGCCGCTCGGATATCTGCACTGTACTGCGGAGCGGAGGAGGAGGAAGACGTGGAGGAGCAGGCGGAGGGACTGCTTGCACTACTGCCGCTGCTGCTGCTGTTCGTGAGATTCGAGTAGTTCGAGTGGTTCGGCGAACTGGCGTCCACCTGCTGGTCCAATGACCTTCCGGTGGCCAAGATGGTGGGAGCCTGTTCCGGCGAAAGGGGCGATGCATCCATTTCGGGGGACGGAGTTTTGCGGAGGTTCAGGGTTCCAGGTGAGAAGAGGGTGGAGTGGCTTGGAAGTGGAGTCAAAGTGGAGGGGCACTCAACTCATCGACGCTTTTCCGGTCGAAACCGAACCGAATGGTTATGCTTCGCTGCCCGAATGCCAAGTGGTTCTCCCACTCCCTCGATTCCCTGACTACTTTTGCACTTTTTGTTGTCGTTTGCTTTTTTTTATGGTTGTTGCTTTTGTCTAGGGCCACATGCTGATGGCCCGCCCCCGCGCCTCCCGCTGTGTTGATGCCAACTGTCAACGGTTGCCAACTAAAATAGCAAAAAGGGGAAATCAATACGAGATATTTCGTCTGGTCCTTTTTCTTAAGTCACGCTCTTTAAGTCCTCTAAATTTCCCTGTTTTGTTGGTTTTTATTGATGCTCCCCTCTCCCAGTAAAAATTTCTCTCTTGAGTTGGAGCCGCTTATCGCTACTTCTCTCTTTTGTTGAAGAGTGCACTTTTACTCCAACTCCCCCGCGTTCGAAATGCTAATGAGTCAGCTATCTTGCTCTCGCTTGCAGTTCGTTGCTCGTAGATTTATTCGTTTTCCCTTTTTTTTAGCATGCACCGCTATTATTTCGTTTGTTTGTGTTTTTTTCCGCTGCGTCTGCTAAAGTTCACACTACTTCTCTGTCTTCTTCTTCTGCTGCTGATTTATCGCCAATTGTGCCAATTGTTGAGACTCCGCTGCTACTGCTATTGTTGTTGTTGTTGCACAATTAAACTGCAAAAAATAAGAGAGAAAAAAAAAACGAATTACTTCACACGGAACCACAGACACAAATACAGCCATATCAACAAATACACGGCACACAAAAGTTATTGCATTTGCTAAGTTTTATTGCAAGCAATTTAAATGCATTTAACTTTTCATAATTTCGTGTTGGCAATTATTTAAAACTTAGGTCTCATTAAGCAACGCGTTGACGCATCCGAACAGGAAATGAGTAACTCAATGATAAATGTCTGATTAAGGCAAAATCGTTCCAATGACAAGAACAGATTGCCAAGATATGTGTACCTATATGAATGTACCTTCAAAAAAAAAATAACCTAATTAAACAAAAGTTATTTATTGTAATGCCAAACAAGTTTTATAACCAATAAGAAAAAAAAAACACTATTTTTTTTGTATGAATGGAATACAAAAAAAAAAAAAAACAAAGATATTTTAGAATTGATATACATTTGCAATGCTGACAATTTTACAAACACATTTTATTATATATTATATTATTTTTACATTCTCTTATCTTCAAGATAATTTAAATAAACGTTTCGGCTCTTTACTTGATTGCCGCCAGTGATAAAATGTACAGCCAATTTCTCCACTTATCTTTTCAAATATGCTAAGTATCTAGAGAATTTCCAGCCAGTTCCAAGCAAAACTCACTTGTCTGTGGCTTCGGCTGATTAAACAACATCTGTGGGTTAACAAATGCACACCCGGGTGACGTCAAAGCGTCGCACCCACCGGAATCATTAGCGATAGCAGTTGTGCCAGTCGGAAGCTCCCAGCATTACCCCATTGCATATATAGTATGTATAGCACCTCCCGATCTGCCAAACACCCATCAAAGCCACCCACAAACCGCAGGCTTCAACAACAAAGGCTTGACCCTCGCCTTTGTTGCTTCCTTTTTCACTCAACACAAACATATAGAATTTCAGTTTTCATTCCAATTTGTTATCTCGGAAGCAAGTGCATACAAAAGCGATGGCGCTGCGTTTGAAATTCAATACAGGAAAATAATGAAAATATGTTGAGGGCAGCGGAATGCGTTTGTCGACTGAAATCCAAACCCCAGAAGGCTTTCGTTGTTTGCACAGTTTGGCGAACTTACGCGTAAACAATAAGTATATTAAAAGATGTTTGCACAGCCAATATTTGTACAGTTCACTGAGAGTTGATGAAAAGGTAAAGTTTATTTGTTAAAAATAAAACACGTTGCATTTGACACCTTGGTAAAGGTTTACATACTCGAGGCATGGGAAATTATTTTAAATTGCGATTCACTTTTAAGAAGATAAATCTTGTTTCTTAGTTAAGATTTAATGAGCAAATAATTAAATAAGCGTCTTATGACACTTTCAAATAACAGAGAGAAAAATGTAATATTATTGTAAACAAGGAAAATCTCTTTGGCACGAACAAATTGTATATATTATCTTTGAATCTTGCTTTAGGATTTGCATACAAAGACACTACCTATACGTCCAATCCAGCAGCACAACAAATCGTTGAACATGAAAATTAATAAACTGCATACTGTATCAAGTGGTTAATCATGCAAATCGTGTGCAAGTCCGTCTGTCTGAAAGGCAAAAATAAAAGTACTTTGCTTTCCGTAAGTAAACTAAATCAATCAGCAAAGAAATATCGATAGCGTTTCGTTGCACGATTGTATCTTTAAGATTTTCTAAGCCGCAACCCGATGAAGTGCGACTCAAACAAAGACATTAGCTGTGGGTTCAGTTCATTCAACCGCCTGGCAGTTGGCGACCCGAACTGAAAACAAAGGCCGCAGATCTCAGATATCGGGATTGGTGTCTCCGCGTTCAACAGTTGCACTATCCAGCAGATAAACGTTCAGCAATTATGTAATTTATTGCTCAATTCGCTATATGCATAAAGCAAACAGAAACAAGCTCCATAATCAGCTAAAGGAAAACGGAAAAATAAAAACAAACTCACTTGTAACTCGATAATTGCACGTTCTGTGCTCAGGTATGACTTCATTTTTTCCAGCATTTAAGTGGCTGAATTACAGATACCAATCCATGCATAAAATTCCATACATGGCCAATGTTGGTTTAATAAATATTCTACACGAAATTTGTGTAATTCAATAGATAATGGTATGGCTTTTATTGCGGAAATCGACCAGTTATCTTCTATATGATAAATTTAAAAATAAATACCCATAAATTTTATGGGGAAATATTTTTAGGAATAATATCTATCGCTAAGTATTGAAAATGATATCAAGTTTGTAAACAATATTATCAACGATTTATGATTTTATTTTATTTTCTTGGAAATACTAAAAATAAAAAATATTGTTTATGGAATGTGTAAATGAAGATGCGATACCAAAGGTATTTCTATATAATTATGGCAGCCCATTGTTAGGTATTGAGAACCGCCCACTTCGTGCTCAATGAACCTGGCATTACTTAACACCGTAGAATACTGACATTGCTATATACGATTTTCATATAAAACCTATTTATCGCAGGCCGATACCAAACAAAGGTCGGGCATGAGTAATCCCCTGGTGTCCAAGGCCTAGAACAACGCCACCAGCCACTAGACAGACGAACCAAGTCCAAACAAGATATAAACTGTCGATAAAGTGAATAAAATGATCAAGAGACGGTCGCTGGCTGATTTGAATCTGTTGCCAAATATGGGCGTACAAGTTGACGATGACGACGTTTGATGACGATCCAAAGCCAACGCTCATATTGGCGTTGTAAATTTATAGGTTGTATGAGAGGGAATTGTAGGAAATTGGAAATAATCCAACGAAAGCCAAAACAATGCGATGCATAAGGACGTGTGGGCAGCAACTCTGAAGTTTAAAGTCAAAACACGAGAAGACTGTCAGAGAAATACGACATAATTGGCACCCGTGGCTAAGAACATGTGGGGAAACTTTATTTAAGCGAAGGTAGGAGAAGTTAAGATAGTTGAGTAACTAAAAGAATAACTAATGACTGGTTATTTGACCACACAACTATTTTTGATATCTACTAAGCATGTCAAAAATTAATTTATAAATTAGTTTACTCTTTTCAAATAAATTTCTATAGACCAGAGACCTCAAAAGTCTAGGTTTTATTATTTTTCCCTTTTATTGTGTCCCCATTAAAATATTCTTTTTTGTTTGTTTTGATTTTAGCTTATTTATTAGAAACAAAGCGACACAGACAGCATCGAGGAGTGTGCTGTGAATGTCAATGGCTCTGATCCCAACCACCGGCATCCAACCACCCGAAACCAGTTGCCGCACCACTCGAGTGGATCCGATGGGAGAGATACCAACGCTAGATAGAGCCAAGTGACAAACGATAAGTTTATAAAGGCGAATACATTGTTGCCAGCAAACGTTTAAAAAGAAAAATAAAAACAAAATAAAATGGAAAAAGAATAAAATAATAATCATATGGCCTGTATTAATAGGAGGCAAGAGTGGTTTTGTTGGGCGGGCCTCAAGTGGGGCGGTACAGTGAGACAGAGAGGTTCGACGATCGCGCGATGATTTGCAAATCGATGGAGCTATCCGCCGTACAAGCCAATAATGACATCGAGTATCCGAGCACTCACAAATTGCTGAACAAATTGTTCGGCCAGATGATGAGCCTGCAGGCAAGTGTCTAGAGATGGGAGCCACTGATTTGAATTTCAATCGGGCTGGCATAATATCGCAATCAAAAATCAATAAAACATTCGAGAAAGCAGTGAACATTAATCGGTAACTAAATACGGTCTAAGATTAGGTTTGACCATTAATTTTGTAACGAAATATTGTTGAAAAGGTTTAATATCCATCATTTTTTTGCCAATCAAAAAGTTAGAAAAATTTGACTTGAACAGGTTTTCAATAATCGTGCCTCACCACAATCAAGAATTAGAATTCCTAATTTATGGGAATTTTTTCAAAGGTTTAGAAATCTGTCATTTTGTTTGGATGTTTCCAAGGTGTAAAAAGGTGTTTACTATCAAGGGATTCACCTTCAGTTAATAAAAGGACCATTGCCCGCCACACTCAATAACTGTTTAAAGACCTTGCTTGAAAGTGCCATAAACCCCAAGGTGTTTACCTCGAAAGGATTACCACTCGTCACGCTAACATCTCTAGCCGCCAAAACAATGTGTTGTCGATTTTCCGTTTGGGGCAATTATGTGCGCCATGCATGGACAATCGTTTGCTGGTTTTTCAACCTAGTGGATGAGTAGCATTTGATGAGCGCTAAATAAAATAGAAACACACAATAAAGCTTGCGTGTGCGAGTGGGGAAACTAGAAGGGAAAACTAAATAGAATTCACTTTCGTCTGCGGCCCAGAAACCAACAAACCGAATTGAGGCGTTGGCTGACCAGTGGCCGGCCACAAATGTTTTATGGGTGGTTTGTGGGTGCTGTGGTGGCGCGTTGGCAACCACTGCAAACCACCACTACATGTGGGTCTTCACTCAGCACTCAGCCAACGACTTACTGCACTTAGCCGGGCCAAAAGGCGAGAGCTCTGAAAAGCGGTTGCGAGGTCAGTAATGGCAGTGATTTAAAAGCCAAGCTCCTCTGTTCACAATATACGAAGAAATAAAATTTATTGCTAGATTTAAAGTTATCGAAGACTTGTTACACAAATTTTTATGAACTACTGCATTAACTTGCAATATTCATAAAGCTCCTTATCTTTTAGCCCTTAAAATGGATATTTTTAATGTTTAAGGGTAAGTTGTTTTTTTTTAGTGCACCACCCACTGTTTGGTCTGTTTGAAGGACACTGTACGCCATTACTACTGATATCTATCGGGGGCCAAAGCATGCCCAGAAAAGCAAACTCATTACAAAGCAAAGTTTTCGAAGAGTGTGAGGTTTAGTACAAAAAGGGGGAGTTACAAAGCCGAAATGACCCTGACTTCGCCACAAGACTGCAAGCGAACGTGATAATAAATCAAAATTTAAATTAGCATCAACGTTGAAATGAGGCTCCG